ACAGGACTGCTAGGGCATAGGGCAGGAGGTGCAAGCCTTCAGGTGCAGGCTCAGCCGGCGCTGACCTGGTGTGCAGCCAACAGTTCAGATTCAAACTGCTGCTCCTTTTAGCCAGAAGTGTGCCTTTTCCTGAATTCCTGCTAAAATCTGAGCTGCTTAACTAAGTCTACCTGAGATCTGTATGAAAAAGCATCAGCAGCAAGCACGCCAGACAACTGCAGCTAAAGGAATAAAACAAGCTCACATGCAGAGGAACAGCTATCATTGCTCTGAAGCTGGCTGCACAAGCACCACGTGCCCGCAGCACTGACCTTCTCCCTCAGTTCCATTTCAGCATCCGATTCATCTAACCAGCGGTCAAAGTCAGGAGCGAGGAAGAGCGGGCGCTTCTCCTGCTTGGTGAGCCTCTCCCACCAGTTACTCTCCTTCTTCTGCACGGTGATGTTCAGCTGCCTTTGAGTCACCCTGCACACGGGCTGAGGGCAGACACAAGAGCAGACATCAACAAAAGCCCTAAGAAACAAGCTCTGGGACTGAACCCATAAGGTAAGGGACTTGTGATGCCATTGTAACCAGCTGGGAAGCCTGCTCAGCACCACTGCATCCCACCACACAGAGCAGGCACTGACACTGGCACTAGCCACCCGTACTGCCACCATCAGATCCCTCTGCACCTCCAGCCCACACCAGGGTGCTCTGCCCGAAACTGCTTCTTAAACACAGCTGAAACTGATGCAGGAGAGCCGTGACCTACGTTCTTAACTGAGCGTGTTCTTTAGAGCTCCTGTCAAGGCTGTCTGGATGCTCCCAGGACATCTGAAAGCTGCAGCTGTAACTCACAGCTGCTAACGCCTGCTCTGTGCCCGGCGTAGGCTCCATCTCTCACTGGTGGCCAGCTCAGCACCAGCAAGCAGCACTCAAGGTGCACACCAAAGCCAGCAGGGCAAACCCTGGAGAAAACCCTATCCCCTGGTCCCCACCATCTGTAGTCGCCCAGATTTCAGAGTTGATCCTTCTGCAGGCACCCAGCTCCTTCCAAGGTGACTCAGGGTGACTACTAGACTTTTGGAAGGATGCTGCAAAGGCAAGGGCTTGCTGACACCTGGCACACATTTCCCCAGGAAGGTTCCAGTTTACCACTTGTTTCAGGAGACAAAACAAGTTCAGACCCCAGAAATTCACCCTCTGGCCCTTGGCTCTGTTGCACAGAGGGAATGATCTCTTCCTTGCTGAAGCAGCAGAGCCAAACCGCGGCTCCTAGCGTGACTGCTGGCAGCCAGGAATAAGCAGCACAAATCCTCCGCTGGGAGCAGAGCCCAGAGTTTCCCTGTGCCCCTGATGGCTTTGAGAGGTGAAGCCAGACTTCACAGCCACCTGCAAGGGCTCGCCCTCCCAGCCACGCTCTCTATCAGACTACAACAGCAATTAAAACAACGTTTTGCAACAGGACCTGCAGTATCTGTACTGGCAACCTAAGGAATTTGCACAAGTCAAAAGCAACAGTTCCCATGACTTTCCTTTGGAAAAGCAGCCAGGAAACATCACACTGACACTGTACCACGGTGTTCCCCTCCTCTCCAAGGCAAGGTTGCATCAGGAAAATCATTGCCAAATTCTCCCATTCTTTTGCTGCTTTAAATCCCTATTAGAAAATACAACTACCGTGTAACAGCTATGATAAATGTAAGACCCTGTTTCTATTAAATTTTTACCCATGTGAGCGCTAGCTCCAGTGAGATTTGCACTAAGGCAGAGCAGTGGCTGAGCACAGGGACCGAGGACTGCCACAGACAGCATTTAGGTTGTCGGCAGTTACAGTCACCAAGAAAATCTAACAGCACATTGTAGACTTCATGCAAAGCCATTTTCCTTCCACATCTCTCAATAAATTACCTCCCATTTACAATAGTTAGAAAAGAGAAAAAAAAAATACCTACTTTAGGCTCGACTGGTTCTAGGAACTCGATCTGAAATTCGTAGATGTTGTCCCCTTTGGCACCATGACCCTGTGCTAAAAAACAAAAATCAATGATCAGCACCAAGGGCCTAGCAAGATCCACATTCCTTGTCTGCAGAGGATACCTTCCACACAGAAACATTCAACTTTTATTTTTAACAGTGCCTTCCCCTGCCTTGCTGGGAGGGAGGATGAAGCCCCAAAGCGAGGAGCCGCTCAGAGGCACAGCAGCTGGGCTCAGCACCTCTGCACAGTGCTGGGGAAGCACCTGCAGTGCAAAGCCTGCAGAAGAGGAGCCCAAAAGGCTGCCTGGGCACAGTGTGAGCCCAGCCGAAAAGCTGCTGTGCTGCGTGACCAGGGCGAGCGGTCACCGGTGGGAGTGAAACTCGCACTCCAAGTTTCCTTTCCACCCCTGCGTGCTGTAAACTGATCCCGAAGTGAACGGATGTGCAGCCATACCCTATCGAATGGCTCACCAGGGAGGCTGCATTTAGCAGATTTTGGAGAAAACGACCGAATAAACGACCAAACCCCAATAAAAGCACGTCCCCAGCAGCGCCCTGACGAGCCACAGCAGCCCCTGTGGCTGCCCGACTGAAACAAAACGGCCTTTGGGGCAGGGATCTGCTTTACCTTCCAAATTGCACGCCAGTTCCTGGAGCAGCCCTTTGATAACGCTCACAAACGAGGTCTTTATGAAAGGAAAAGGGCTGCGCTGCTGGGGCTGGGGTGAGGCAGAGATGCGGGGAAATGTCCCTGCTATTTAAATGCGGGGTGGGATGTTTTCCCTATTAGATAAGATAGGGCTGGTGGTGAAATGCAGGGGGCTGCGTGTGGGCGTGCTTTTGAGCCCCGTGGTCTGTGCCTGGCACGCGGGGAATTGCGGGTGAGGGCCGGCCACCTACCTCTGAAGTGGAGCACATTGTCGGTGATGGTGATGTCCGGGTTCTGGGGAGAGAGGAGAGCCTTGGAGGGGACCTTGGCGGGCAGCACGCCCCGTTACTGTGCTCTGTCCCACCCCCCTGTGCCCAGCCGGTACCAAGAGGAGAGCGCGGTGCCTCGGGGGGACACCGGGACTGCTGCTGCTGCCCCGCTCACCCTCACCCTGATCACAGCCTGATCCCAAGCTCACCCCCACAGTGATCCTACCGCCAACCTCACCCCAATCCCGTCATCAGCTTGATCCCACTGTCAGTGATCCCAACACCTCCCTTCACCCCAATCTCACCCTAATCCCACCCCTTTACCCCAATCCCACCTCCCTCACCTCAATCCCACCCTAAACCCACCCCAGTCCCACCTCCCTCACCCTAATCTCACCCCCTTCACCCCAATCCCACTTCCCTCACGCCAATCTCACCCCAATACCACCCCAATCCCTCCTTAATCCCACCTCCCTCACCCCAATCCCACTTCCCTCACCCCAATCTCTCCCCAGTCCCCCCTTGGTCCCCCCCTCACCCCAATCCCACCTCAATCCCCCCCTCACCCCAACCCCAACCCCCTTCCCCCTCCCCTCCCCTCCCCTCCCCTCCCCCGAGCAGCGGCCACCCCGAGTGCCGGTGCCGGTGCGTGTGGCGGTGCGGGGCGGGTACCCGCACGTCGCTGAGCTCCACCCGCAGGTACAGCTCCCGGTGCCGCTGCGCCCAGTGCACATGCGGCCGCAGGCTGGGCCCCGCCATGGCGCCCCCCCCTCCCCCGCCCGCCGCGGGCCCGGCACCAAGCGGCGGCGGCGGCTCCCGGTGCGCCTGCGCCCGGGGCGGGAGGGCGGCAGTGCGCATGCGCGCTGCGCTGAGGGAGGGAGGCAGGGAGGGAGGAGGGGTTGTGGGAGGGGGAGGGTGTTGTGGTGGCTCCGCGCCGCTTTATGGCCGGTTCTCCCCTCTGAGGTGGTTTTGGGATGGGGAGCTGCCCCCCGGCTGTGTTTTGAAGGGTCGGGGCTCGGCTTGGTCTCACGGAGCTGCCCGTGGTTGGGTTGGGAGAAGGGCAGGCTGTGGGAATTGGGGTGTAACCCCTGTGGGGTGTGGGGGTCCCGCTGCACCGTGCCCCGTTTGGGGGCGCTGATCCCGCTGAGAAACCCCAAAACTGTGCGGCACCAGGAAAAACTGCCCGGGGGGGTCATCTGCAGCGACAGGGCCTTGGTGGCGGTCAGAGGGACACGCACCTACAGAGCAGCGGCTCTGCTTTACGGGGGAAAGCAAATTTATGTTCTATATCTGGTATATAATAGATAAATTCATGTTATCTGTGCTGCCGCCTGCGGGTGCTTTGGGCTCAACGTGTGTCAGCCCCAGTGTTGTGCATGGGGTTGTTGCGCACCCCAGTATCACTCAGGGCTTTTGCACACCTGGTGTTATGCACGGGGTTGTTGCATGCCCCAGCGTTGAACACACAGTAGTTACATGCCCCGGGGTTGTCCACAGGGTTGTTGAACACCCTGTCACACAGACTTCTTGCACGCCCCAGCATTGCACACATGGCTGTTGCACACCCTAGCATCATGCACAGGGTTATTGCACACCCTGATGTCACTCACAGGGCTGTTGCACACCCTAGATTTGTGCACAGGGCTGTTGCACACAGGGTTTTTGAACTCCTGAACATCATGCATGGGGTTATTGCACACCCTACCACCATGCACAGGGTTGTTGCACACCCTGATGCCACTCACAGGGCTGTTGCACACCCCAGTTTTGTGCACAGGGCTCTTGCACAGGGGGTTTTTGAACTCCTGTTTTTTTGAAATCCTCCGGGCATGGGGTTATCGCACTCCCTGCCATTATGCACAGGGTTGCTGCACACCCTAATGTCACACAGGGCTGTTGCACACCCAGCGTTACACACGAGGCTGTTGAACTCCCAAGCACCACACATGAAGCTGTTGCACGCCCTGCCATTACACAGGGGGCTGTGGCACACCCCGCTGTCACTCACTGGGTTGTTACACACCTAGCGTTGTACACGGGCTTCTCACACACCCAGCCTCACACCCGGGCCTGTCACAAGCCCGGCAGGCGGCGCCCACAGCTCCCCAGCGGAGAGGCGGCGGCTCCGCTTCCTCCAGGCCGGCGGAGGGCGCCCGGTTGGGGCCCGGCCCGGTGCAGCCCAGCCCGGCCCGGCTCGGCCCGGCCCGGCCCCGTGCTGGAGGAAGCGGAAGAGGCAGCGGCGGGGCCGCATCGCCGCCGGGCAGCGCCGTGAGTGGGGCCGGGGGTGGAGGGGGGGCTGTGGGGTTTGGGGTTTGGGGGGGGGGGGGGTCCCGGTGTCGGGGTTGTGCTGAAATCCCCCCCCACCGCTGGATCCGGGGCGCTGGGCCTGAAATTGGGATTAATTTTACGCAGAGGTGGCTGAAATGCTGCTCCCTTCGTGTTTGGCAAAAGGGGTGAGGGAAATGCCTGCTGTGTGTTTGCAGAGGGGGGCCAAGCCTCGGGCTGAGCCTTGCCCTGCTGTTCTTTTAGCCCTCTGTGTGTTAAAAGGGGCTTGATCCGAGCCTCACGCCCTCACTCCTCCTAGAAGAGGTTTTTCTGCTGCTGTGCGGAGCCCCAGGAGAAGCTGGGCCTGCAGGGAGCTGTACCCCAGGTGGCTGTGCTGAGCCAGCCCCTGTGTGCAGGGTGGACGCATCCTGCTCCATCTATTTCCCATTAGTGTTTTTGGCAGGCTCTGCCTGCGCCCGAGCAGCGTGCCAAGCAGGCGTGCAGCCTTTCCACTTTATATACAGAAAAAGGACTTGAGGGTTGACAATCCTCACGCCTTGGAGGTAATGAATTACCTCTGGTAATGAATTACGTGGTGGGAGTTTGTAGCTGGGGTCCTTTTAGGTTTGCGCTCAGATCTGGGATTTGCAGTAGGAAGATTTCAGTTCCTGTTGCAGGACCTCTGGGCTGTTTTGTCTCAGATAAAACCCAGCTAACTGCAGGAAGAAATATCTGGTAACTTAACCTGTTCAGGAGAGTAGCACTTGTGCTGCAGATAAATCAGTTTCCAAAATGTGCATGTCCCTTGCATCACCTTCTGGTGTTGCCTGACACTTCTGGAAGGGTCACATCCATACAGCATTTATAATCCCATGCCTGGGATGAGATAATAGTGATGGACATTGCCAGACCCTTCAGAGATCAGTTTGAAAGGAAGAAAACACAAACCCAAGAAATTATAGGGGAGTAATGGTTGCCCAGGCCTGTTGGGTATGGCCGAGTGGTTCCAAATCAGCTGCTAATGATGTTCCCTCCGAGTAGCTTCTTGTCCCTGATCTTCATGAACATAATTGATACATGGTGGGGGGAAAAAGGCAAACAGCAATAAATCTGTATGGTTCCATGGAGTCATTAGTCTTGTTCTAAAAGGCTAAGTGATGGCAGCCTCTTTTGTTGCACTGTGATTTGGGAATCTGAAGTGATCATTAGCTGAAAGGCAATGCTCAACCTCCAGCTTTGTTTTTTTTTTCTTCCAGAACCATGCAACATGGCAGCAGCCATGGAAACTGAACAGCCGGGCCTTGAAATCTTTGAAACTGCGGGCCGTGAGGAGCAGGAGCAGAGAGAGGAACAGCCAAAACTGGAACCTTACTATGTAGAGAGACATTCCTGGAGCCAGCTCAGGAAACTGCTCACGGATACGCGGAAGTATCATGGGTATATGATGGCAAAAGCCCCGCACGACTTCACGTTTGTTAAGAAAAATGATCCTGAAGGACCTCATTCTGATAGGATCTACTATCTGGGTAAGCCTCCTGGGACAGCCTGTGTCTTGACTAAACTGTCATTGCAGAGGCTGTTGGGGTTTGACTTCAGCTGTGCTTGAAGTGATTTGGCACTGTAAATGGCACTGTGGACAAACTTCTCGGAGCAGGTCTTGTGGTAGAGGAGTGCTTGTGTTAAAAGCTGCACTAGCTGAACATAAGTCCACGAAAATCTGAGTCTGGGTAAGAAGCAATGGCTAGAACAAAGGACTGGAAGCTAGAACAATGTTCTAGCCCCATTGCTTGCTGCTTAGGCTAGTTGTTTTAGCTCTGATTTGTGGTTTAGATTCTAGATGTGCTGTCACAAAGCTGCTGATTCATCTCTGTTCCATTTTTCAGAGAATGGGGTTCGTAATATTTAAATAAAGTTGAGTTCAAGCACGTTGAGGGTGATGGGCTAAGGCTGGCAGGGCTGATCCCCCTGGGATGAGCTCTGGCTTCCTGAGCTGAAGGTTAGGCTTGGCCTTCCTCAGTGCATATCTGGCTCCCTCTGGGCTGATCCCCACATGCCCTGGCAGGAGTTATCAGAAATCTGAACAGCACTGAGGGAGATGAGCAGGAAAGAGACATTCAAACCTTCCTAAAGATGCATTATCTTTGAAACACAAGCTGCATTGTGCGGTGTTTCAGCCAAGGGAAAGAGCAGAACGTACCTTCTTGAATTTAAAAGCTTATAAAATAAGACCTCCAAGAAGGAGATATGCTTCAGGCAGCATGTGGTAGGGGTAGTTCCTTGTTCTCTTCCTTCTTTGTGATTTACCTTTCTGTGAAACAGGGAATTCCTGGTGCGAGGCTGCAGTGCAGAGACTGTCAGTACTTCCTCTGGTAGGCAGGGCCTGTGAAACTGTTCCTGAGCCTCTTTTGAGAGTGTTTGGATTATTATCAGAAAGCTAATATATTGTTTTTTTTCTTCTCACTTCGACAATAGCCATGTCTGGGGAGAACAGGGAGAACACGCTCTTCTACTCTGAAATTCCCAAAACCATAAACAAAGCTGCCGTCCTGTTGCTTTCCTGGAAGCCTCTCCTGGATCTTTTTCCGGTGGGTCCTGATTTCTTTCTTGTTCTTTAGCCGCATAGCAAGTAGGCAGGCTTTTGAGGTTGCACCCATAAGCCATCATTATGGTCTGAAATCTTTTAAGGTTCTCCTTGTACTTGGCTAACTCTGCAGCCATCTCGAAAACAAGCCCGGCTTTCTCATCAGGCTTTGGAGCTGCAGCCTTTGTGCGTCATGAAAAAATGTGTGTGCTGCTTGATTTCTCCTTTGCCAGCAGAGATTGCAAGTGCTAATTTGCACCAGATTCTCTGCTGTGAGATCCTGGGGACTGCGGAAGGAGCCTGTAGTCTCCGATAATCGCTGTCTTGCAGGGGGAAGTGATGAGTCCCCCTGAGGATCTGTCAGTGGCTCCGTGACTCATGCTGAAGCAGAGGATCTCTTTCCCACTCTCTGGGACACGTGTCCCCTTCTCACCTCTGTGCAAAGCAAGCCTGCACTGGTCCCCCATGCACCGTGGCAGGTTGGAGGAGGCGGGACAAACCCCGTGTGGAATTAGGTGTGTTGTTTCCCCGTGCTATTTCCTGAGGCTGCCAGCCAGCCATAAAATTCATGCTGTGCTCTCCTCCCACCCGACCAGTCACTGTGTATCTTTGCAAAAGTTAGCAGAGACCGTCCTACTTGTTCTAGAAATATCAGGCCTTCAGCCTGATCTTTCTCAAACCAGCGTGCGTTGGAAATAGTGCCAGTCATGCTAAGGGAGAAGTGGCTCTCGGGTTCACAGATGTGTGGGATCGAGTTATGGCCTGCACCTACGAGTGCTGATGGCAGAGGCAGAAGCAGGAGTGGGCTCCTGGCTGCCAGCAGGATTCTGGAGGAGGAGGAGGGTGTCTGCACAGCCATCTGGTCCTGGAAGCTTGGCATGCCGAGATGCTCTGTCAGTATAGTAAGGAATGCAGAACAGGGGTGTTGATTGTGCTTCTCTGCCCGTTTTCAGGCCATCCTGGACTATGGGATGTACTCTCGTGAGGAGGAGTTGCTTCGGGAGAGGAAGCGAATTGGCACTGTCGGGATTGCCTCCTATGATTACCACCGAGAAAGCGGCACCTTTCTGTTTCAGGCTGGGAGTGGAATTTATCATGTAAAGGACGGAGGTCCTCATGGATTCACTGTGAGTTTACTCAGCTCTCTTGTTCTACCACAGTACTTCTATCCTCTAAGCTAGAAGGAAAGATCATGAGCATGAGTTCTTGCTGCGCTGACGAGGCAAGTAGCCTTGACAACAGTTGAGACATGGAGAAATCCCCCTTAGGGGGGCATTTCCATGGTTGTAGAAACATGGATGGAAATTAAAAAGAAATGTTATAAGCTGTGGTGGCAAGGCATGACACCAGATTTTGCTGATTTTTTTTGTAAGTAGGAGTGTCAATAAAAGGCAACACAATGGTTGGGATACTTTGTGCTCTTTCACGTAGTGAGAAGTCACGTCAGAGGCAACTTCTCTTCACTAGCTGTGGTTTAGAGGTCACTGCTCAGCCATCAGTGCTGTGTTACAAGATTTGGCCATATAACATTTGGAACAGCCAGGCTTTACTCTTTGCGTGTGCTGAAGACGGACTTCAAAGCCGAAACCATTTCATATTATAACAAATGCTTGTTGTCTGACACTGTCAGGTGGAATTTACTGTATCTGGAATTGTTTTTGGAGCACCAGATTATTGTATGTCCTACCTGTCTGTTTTTAGGGTGCTGTTCAGATTTCTGATCTGTCTGATTTGTCTGAATTTTTTTTTTGAATCGTCAGCACTGGTGAAAGAGATCCTGGTGGGATCTGTGCAACCATGATAGAAGCACATTTATCCCTAAAAAATATCTGCATAGCATTTTCCTGCGTTGAAAACGGGTTGCTCTCGTGTAAACCTGTGTATCTGAAGTCAGCATCCACACTGCTGTGGTCTTAGAGACCTGATAATCCAGTTCAGTTCCTGTATGTTTTGTTTTGTTTTGTTTTGTTTTTAATTGCTTACTATTCTCTTTTTCCTCTTTCAAACAGCAACAGCCTCTAAGACCCATTCTGGTAGAGACCAGTTGTCCGAATATCCGGATGGATCCCAAGCTTTGTCCAGCTGATCCAAATTGGATTGCCTTTATCCACAGCAATGACATCTGGATATCTAATATAGAAACCAGAGAAGAGAGGAGGCTAACGTTTGTGCACAATGGTAATGAATCCTGAATTAAAATCTCTGTACCTCCTCTGCACTTGTTCTTGCTATGCTGAATTAAGCAATGGCACCTGGGGCTCTTCTGAAATCTGAGGGAACGGCCACCATCTACTTCACGTGGGATTTGATTATTTGTCATGTTCTACATGTTTCTTCCATGGCAAATATTGTAGGATGGTTCTTTTCCCTGTGGAACTAGGAAAACCAGAATCTGTCAAAATGAGTTATTTGTTGAATACATATGGAAGGGCTGTTCTCCTGAAATGCTGCTTTTTTTTTTTTTTATAATACTGGAACAGTCTTTTTTTGTGTGAAGGAGCTGTGGGTGGATTAGAACTGGAGGAAAGTTTCTGTCAGTGAAGTCAGGCTTTTTAGAAACAATATAGACAGTTTCTGAATAGCACTGTGCCTTCTGCTGGTGCCCTCAGACTCAGTAACTTAGGTCTTTGCTTCCTAACCCTCTCCAACTCCCTTTTAGACACGTATCCTGGAGGAAGGAAAGTGGAAAATTGTGAATAAACCAATGCCTAAAAATCTGTTTTGCAATTTAATCACGCTTCATGTATTTAAACTATATCATTTAATTTTTAACTAAATTAAAATTTCTAACACTTCATAATAATGCTTTAGCTTATTTAAATGTTAGATATTAAAATATTATGTAAGTACATTAAAAATAAACTGTAGCAATGACTCCTTCTCAGATGATAATTATTTATGGAGCGCTGCTAAGTTACCTCCAGGGTAACAGGAAAAATATTGAAGCCCTATGGATATGTCATCATGTTGAGATGTTATGTAAGTGTGTTACTTTTGGTCTGTACAGTGAATGAAGTGCTGATAATTTTGTTTTTCTGAATGTTGGTGTTCTCAGTGTCAGTTAGTTTTTTTTTCTTTGGTTTTCTTAAAAGTTGTGAGCTCAGGTAGAATGTGTTCTCTCTTGGATGAGTACATGGAAAACTGAGAGACTAATTGAGTAGGAGTAAGGAGGGGAGATGGCTTTCCTTTCCTAAAAGAAGCTGCAGTGTCAGAGAGGATTAGATCTTTCCCAAATAAATCAACAGAGCAGGGTGGAAGCAGAAAGCAAATCTGCTGAGAAGCCAGATTTATTATCATGTAATTGTTCCCCAGGGGTTGAACTTGGGCCATGTTTGGGATAACGCAGAACTGGTTTGATTCTGCAGTACATCATGAACTAATTCTTCTGTGTCTTTTTTTAGAACTGGCCAATGTTGAGGAGGATCCAAAATCTGCTGGCGTGGCTACTTTTGTGCTGCAGGAGGAGTTTGACAGATACACTGGCTACTGGTGGAGCCCAAAGGCACAGCCAAGTAAGTGTGTTGGATCCTGTGTGTCTGACAGGCAGAGTAGTGGCCCCCAAGCTGTGCTGTCCAGGGCAGAGTTCATTTTTCTGTCACTTGTCTGTATCCAGGATAGGAATCTTATAGTTCAAAAGGAGTTAGGAGTATCTGTGATGGTGGGTGTGGTACAGGAGCCTCGTTAGCATGAGTTACTGGAGAAAGAGTCTTTCCTTCTCACGATAGCGATAAGAGTTGTGAGAGTCTTGGGGTGTTTTGCTTAGTGAAGCATGAATCACAGACTGCTCTTCATCCTTCCCACCTGATTTTTCTGTTGGGAGAATGCTGGTTTCTGCAGTGCCAATTACGAGATCTGCTCTGACCAGGAAATCTTTAATTCATTTGCAGCACTGAATGGGGGTAAAGTTCTTCGAATTCTTTATGAAGAGAACGATGAATCAGAGGTGGAAATTATTCACGTCACATCACCAATGTTGGAGACAAGAAGAACAGATTCCTTCCGGTACCCCAAAACTGGTGAGAGCCTGATGACCTTGTGTGTCTGTTCTAGGAGATGCACATTTTATTCCAGGTGCCTTAGGCCAGGGACTCTCCTAGCTTAGAGCAGGGGGTTAGAGACATGTTGTATAGTCCTTGAATGAGTGTCCAAGTGGTGGAAATTTGGAAAAACTGCTGCTGTGGAGATTAGCTTAGTCACTGGTGGCTGTGCTGGTTTTCCAGCCGTGTGGTTACTAAGAGCTCTGAGTCCAGGTCTCGCAGGAGCTGGCAGAAACCCTACCTGATCATGGCTATTTTGGAGCTGCTCTCTCAGATCCTGGCACAGAGAAGTTGTTTCTCGTTACAGCCTTGTGTCTCTGAGGGAATAGCTGCAAAATGATACTGCTTTGTTTTTTTGGAGGGGAGGCTTTCTGTTTAGCTGCTGGTAACCTGGTGCCCTGGTAGCTCAAGTTTTGAAGTGTTCTGGCCTCTGCGATTGCTGTTGGGCTTTGAAAATTCTGCGTGCTTGCAGCCTGCCAGAAAAAAAAACACACTGTCATATTTTCAAACAGTAAATAATGTGAAAGCCTCAACAATAAAGGAGTGAAGGTAGGCATAAAGAAGAGCAGGTGGAGTGCTGCTGGAAGTGGATGAGTGAAACCCGTGTGGCCCTGCTGAGGGCCACCTCACTGCCATGTGTCAGGTGTATAGGGCCAGTTTGAACAGCCTGACCTTTGCTCTTCTGAGCTTTCACTGCCGTGTCAGCAGGGCATAGTGACCACTGACCGTCCCCAGCTGCAGAATTAGCTTCAGGTCTTGTAGATTCCCTGATCCAGTGGTAAAAGTTTTCTGCTTATGATCCTGATTTACCACTTGTTTTGAGGAATGAGGCTGTGTCAACCTGGGAAGCAAGAGATGGCTGCTCATGTTTTCTCAGTGCTAGTGTACGCCTAGATTTCTGAGGGTGTTTCGTCAGAATTTTATTCAGCGTTGAGTCTCAGCAGTTTAGGAAAATCAGACAACCAAAGCCTAAATGCTTTTAAAACAATTGAAGTTTTAATCTCTGGCTTCAGTTTCCAATCTGAGCCAGGAGCCATAGCACTGTTCTGCACATTGTTACGAGGGCAAAACTTGAGTCAGCGTCTTACCAGAAGAAAGATAAGTACTTAAATAGGACAACGCTGTGGCCCAAAGCAAATCACTTCACCTCAGTGCATCAGTTTGTGTGTAGAACTGGGTTGATGAAGTGGGAGTATCTCGCAGTAGCACTGAGAATGCTCAGAGTACGTGGAAGTTACCACATATGGCTTCTTGTGGATTGACTGGCAGCAGTTTTTTTTCTTTATTTTTCACATTTGCTGCAGACCAGGCCCCAGCCTTTAGCACTTCAGGTGCTGTACGGCTGCTTTGGGCAGGCTTTCTGGAGAGAGGTAGTTGGGTTTTCAGTGTTCAATACAGATAAGTAGGTGGTTTTTTTAATCTTAACTTTGCTAGTCATGGCAATAGATTTATAAGAATGCAGAAAGAAAGTCTTTGGTTCCAGAATGAGTTGCTTTATTTTTTTTTAAGATGCTCAGTAGCATTGAATCACTTTTTGCACACTGCTTTCTATTGAACAATAACAACCAAATAAACCAAAGCTTGCTTTGATACCCTGATTGCTCCTGTGCCTTTACTTCCAGCTAGTACGTGCATCCTTTGACTGTGGGAGGGAAGACTGTGACAGTAGCATGGCTCTTGATCAGATCTGCTACTGAGTCTGCTTCATATCTGCAGTCTCTTTTTTTTCCCTGCCTGATTCTTTGCTTTCTCTCATGTATGCAAGTAGGCTGTTTGATCAAAGAGCATTGTGCTCTTTCCCTGTTCCATTTCAGTATGAATAACGCCATGATAATCCATCAGTTCTAGTCTGTCCTCTTGGAAACAAAAATTGGTGCCTGACTGCTAACATCTGTTTTTATAGGTACAGCAAATCCAAAGGTCACTTTCAAGATATCCGAAGTGACAATCAATGCAGAAGGAAGAGTAAGTTCCATGTTCTGCTTGTTTTCTAAATAAATCCTATTTCTTTGAGTCTTTCTGGTAAAATACATTTCAGTATAAGTAAACTTTCTTTGTTGTGTTAGCTTAATGGCTTCTCTGGAGGCAGTGCACGTGGCTCATTCCTCTGCAGATACTCGGTGTCTGTGTGTACAGCTGTATTTCTCAAGGCTGTCCTTTTCTTCCCCACCATTGGTTTATGAACTTGGCTGCAGAGCAGAATGTTTTAGGTGAGGATGGTTAGACTTTCTTATGTGACAGATCTCCTTATTGGCTGCAGATACGGGGAAAATTTGATTGCAGAGAGAATATATCACCTTATAAAAGCACGAACATGTGAGCGATGAACTTTCGTTTCACTCCAGGATTTTTTTAACAAATACAGAAATTTCCATAGCCCAGTCCAAGATCTCCAGACAGCTGGGAAATTAATAATCTTATCAAACAGACACAGTAACATCCATGCATTGCTGGGATCCTCTACTCAGCTACTTCAGCCATCACCACTGACCTGTTGGGGTAGCAATGCTGACATCAGCCAGCAACATCAGGGAAAGCCATCAGGTCCTGTGGGGTACCACTGCCTCGTCCCAGCAGGGACAGACTGCAGAACTGCCCATCATGATTTAGACCCACGTTGACAACTGGATGCTATGCAGGATGTTCAAAAACTCAGTGAAAACACCTTACAAAACAGCCCGGTACAAATCCCCTCCTCCCTTCCTTTGTATTTTACACCGGGAAACTGATTGTTCAAGTGACTTGTCCAAGACAAATGATGGATTTGTGAGCAGAATCCAGATTTCTCAAGTCTTAGCCCTGGCTGCTCTGGTGTCTGGCTACAGATGGGGTGAAGCCCTTGTGTTGAAAAGGCTGAACAATCTGAATGGAGTGAGCTGCACAGAAGAAGTCTTCTGTGTCCAGGCTCTCATTGTGCATGAAAACTGGTTGTGTGGGTTCATCTCAGTGTCACTGAATTGCTGCTTTGTCAACAGATTGCAGATGTTGTGGATAAAGAGCTAGTTCAGCCCTTCGAGATCCTCTTTGAAGGAGTAGAGTACATTGCTAGAGCTGGGTGGACGCCAGAAGGAAAATAGTGCGTATGTTAATCCTGTCTCTGCTTAGAGGGTTTGGGGCAACACAGTTAGAAGCAGAATGCAGTGGTCCCTGTCTCCAAGCTTAAGCCTGCTTTCATTTTTGCATTGCTACAAACGTGTTTGTGTGAAGGGGGTGATTTTTCCCAAACCCAAACAGTCCCCGTTGTCTTTCCCTGGTACCTGGCCCTACTGCTTTGGCATTGGGCACTCACAGCCTTTGATGTGTGTGTCCTCTCAGCATCCCTGTGAGAGAGAGTGCAGTGCTATTATCCCCATTTTACAGATGGGGAACTGAGGCCCAGAGAGGCTAAGTGACTTGCCATAGTCGCTCAGGAAGTCTGTGGCTGAGGAGAGAAATGAGCCCAGGTCCCCCAGGCCCTAGGCTAGCGCCCTAACCACTGGACCATCCTTGCTGACCAGGCTTACTGATCAGAAAACCTGCTGTAAGTGCTACTTACATTTGCATGTCATTTTTAACCCTGTAGATGATGTAGTACAGTGTCTCTAACTCACCAGAAGCTTCTCTGGAAATGCACTTCTCCAGCTCTTGAATCTAAAGCTGACTTTCACCTTTTCGTGTTTTTTTTTTTTTTTTTTTTTTTCAAACGTGGAAGAAGTGAAGGGACACATTTACTCCATTGTCTTGCTTTTTGCAGGATTATTTTTAGAGCTACATGTAAAGTCAGAAGCGTGGCAGGGTCTCCTGCCAGTTCATTTGAGTGCCAGTGTTCTCTGCCAGGTATAGATTTAAAGCAATATTTTCACAAGTATCCTGGAACATCAGTTAATTTTTTTCTGCTTCATTAGTCCCTCTGATTTTTTTTTCTCTTTCTCCCTTAAAGCACAATCCAATTCTGGGGGAATAGAATTAATTAAACTTTTCAACCTGCAGTGCTTATGCAATATTGAAATGAAGTGAAATAGGTTCCTAAGTTATTGAAGAGGTTTGTTTTTGTGGGTGAGATTTTACATGTGGCTTTTTTGCTTAATCTGGAATTGAACATTCTTGACTCCCCTGAGATGCTTAGTGGTAATAGGTGTATTATGAGGTTTTTCAGATCTGTCTAACACTCATGGTTGCATGTTATTTTCTCTAATATCTGTCTCCTCAACAGTGTCTGGTCCATCTTACTGGATCGCTCCCAAACTCGACTTCAGATAGTCTTGATCCCTCCTGCATTATTCATCCCAGTAGAAGATGATGCAATGGAGAGACAGAAACTCATCGATACCGTACCAGATTCTGTTACGCCTTTCATAATTTATGAAGAAACAACAGACATCTGGATAAATGTAAGAATTTCAACTTTAGCACTGCCTGACAGCTTGTTGTTCAAGACCCTATCAGTAACACTTGAGCGATGTTGGTGTTGCTGTGCTGCCTAGGAGACTATTCCTGTTGTGCAAGTTCTGTGCCTCTTCCTGCAGTAAAGAACTCACAATGTATAGAGAACAAAAAGATCTGGGGTGTGAAAGCAGAGCTGCTTTGCTTGAGGCTGCTTGGTGATCAGAGAGCTAGGAACAGAGCCCAGGACTCTGATGTTCCAGGCAGCCCCTTTACCCACTGCTCATTTGTGCAGTTGTTCACCCGCAGCAGTCCCAGCAGATGAAGTATTCTTCAACCAGTGAAGATGTTTCCAGGGGATATTTGGGGAACAAGTCTCAAAAGTCTGTTAATAATCACTGAAAACCCTCCTTGACCACGTACGTTCTGGTGAAATAGATTCCTGTGTAATGCTCTTGGAGGTGTGTTGTAGGGTGACGCTGTGTGACAGTGGATGCTGGTGTGCTAGGCTAACACTTTAAAGAAGTGCTGCTCACAGTTCTGCAGGTTAAAATCAGTGTCTCTAAAGTGACATCCCATTGGAGGTGTCCCACAGTGCAGGACAGCCTGAGAGCTGCAGTCACTGGGGTGTAGTTGCACCTTTCAGCAGAGAGCATGGTCACAAAGCCTTCCAGTGATCGGTCTCTATACTCTAAGTACTATCTATAATATTATTTTATTTTTAGTATTAGTGTACGTGGTTTCAGGATGGTGCAGTGAGTTGTCTTGTCTCCATTATCTTTACTGGCTGGAGTTGTTTTTTTACTGACACCTCATACCGTGCAGATAAATGCTTCTGAATGCCTCAAAAGATTGTCCCCTGATGGAAGAGCTGGCATCTTCATGAGTGGGAAGATGATGACAGCTCATCTTTCTCTAAATAGCCCTTCCCTTCTGGGTTTCTAGATAGCACTGGACAGAGGAGGCCACTGAGCTCTGGCATCTTTGGGTGGCTCTCACATGCTGTCTGCAGACCTGGACCCATCTCTGTATCTGAGCCAGAAAGGCAGGTGCATAAAAACTTACTCAATTCCTTCTGTGGCCAGGATTTAGAGTTAGATGAGCAAGAAGCCAGGATCTGTGCAGCATGTGGCTGTTGTTTGCAGACACCCCCAACTCATAAGCATTTTTAGGTCTCCCAGTAAGGGACAGAGCATGCCACAACCTGCTAGTGTGAGCTGTGTCAGAGGAACTTAGATTCGACTTCAGTGCCACCCTCCTGCTGATAACACCCATCCACTGTTCTGTCTCCCCAGATCCATGATATCTTCTATGTTTTCCCTCAAACCCATGAAGACGAGATAGAGTTCATTTTTGCTTCTGAATGTAAAACAGGATTCCGGCACCTATACAAAGTCACCTCGGTTTTGAAGGAGAGCAAGTATAAGCGGTCATCTGGAGGTCTCCCTGCTCCAAGTAAGTGAAATTATTCTCTTTCACTGGGTGTTTGCTGCTGGCTAGTGGGGAAATGAATGTCTTTCCAGGTGGCAGGAATCATTGTCTCATTGGAAACTCCTCTTGTTGCCCTGGAAAGCACTTTGCTCTACAGTCATTCCACTTGAAATTGTACAGGGGTTGTTCTGTATTCAGCGTGCCTTAGCTTCAACCTTGATTCTTCCTTGTTGACTACAGGGAAAAGTTTCACAAAATCAGATACGAAATGAGCCGTGATGGTGTAAAATGCCCTCAGCTTACTTAGTTGACAGTGGTGGGGTTGTTTGTTTGCTCACTGCTGTAGGTTAATCATTACAGCAATAACGTGGCTTTCTCTGTGCAGGGTCCAATGTATCCGGTAGATACACATTGGTTCAAGAGTTGTGTTTGGAAGTAAAACCAACACAGTCCCTGTCAGCCTTTACAAGCAGATTGTAGCAGAGAGGCTGACAAAGAACAGTTTGAACATATTGCAAAAGGGTCCATAGAGGGCCTCCCTGTCTGAGGGGGCCCACTTGTTAGTCCCTTTAAAATGAACATATGTGCTTGGCAGCAAAACCTATGATATGACAACTATTCAGAGAATTCCTATCTGCTCTTAAAAACAATCATGGTATTGCTGTATAGACAGAGATGTTAGTAGGAGAAAATTACTGGCAGCTGTTGCAAGTGGAAATTGAGGAAGAGTAATTTCAAGCAAAAAAATTCGAGGACCATGTGCTTCCAAGCTGCAGTCAAAGTTTGGCCTTGCTCAAATACATGGTATAACTGTGTGCAAAGCTCCTGGAATGTTTTTTCCACAGTATGTGTTCTTTCATTTACAGTTTCATGCTGTGATACTTAATTTACTTGTTGTGTGTTGAAGGCACTTGCTGAGCTCTGCATGCAGAAAAAATACACCTTATTTTACGAGAGGTCCTAGTTGTATGCAGTTGTGTTGTTTTTTCTTTCCAGAAAGCATTATGTTGGGTTCATTAGATTTCTGTGAATGTATCCAACGTCTTTTTCTTGCTAAATCTCCCTCATTCCAAGGGAAATGAAGCCATCTTATAAAAGCAGAGCTGCTTCCCACCCCAAAGCAAAGTCTCCATTTTTGACACCTGAGACTCCCTTTCCACCTTTTTCAGGATAAAACCTCATTTCTGTGCAAATGACAAAATGCTTTAAATAAATAAATAAATAAATAAGCAAGATGCAACCTAGCCCAGGTCTCAGGTTGAGGGCATCTGTGAATCTTTTGATACGTAGTTCAGAGTGCTAAATGTACCAGCCCTGACACTTGTCTGGGGAGCTGGCAGGGTTGTGGGTCTTCTGCAAAGCCACATTCTGTTGGGTTCAGTCTAGCAAAGAAGCTCGGAAGAAAAAAATATCATTGTGACTGTGTGTTGTGTGAAATGTGAAGTGTAAAATCTCTGTATGTGTTTTTTTTGCAGGTGACTTCAAGTGCCCCATCAAAGAGGAGATAGCCATTACCAGTGGGGAATGGGAAGTGCTTGGGAGACATGGGTCAAATGTAAGTATCTGCTCTTGCTGTATGATATCTTGCAAGCAACACACATGTGCTGGAGGACAGCAGTGCAGAGAAATGGTCTCAGGGACCTCACAGATAAGCACATGTTGCATTAGCGAGGCTCTGCTCCTTTTTAGCAGTAAAGCAGAGCATCATAGGCAACATTAGATGTTTATCTTCCTAACAAGTTTTTCCCTCTAAGTTTAAGCCTTAAAGAGAAGGAAGCAAAAATACTTTAAAACATTACCGAGGAAATTCCATGTGTTCCTTGAGAACCAAAATGTTGTGATGATGTCCAGCTGCTGTCCTGGAGCCAGGAGATACCTGTTGGAGGGGTCAGAATAAATCTATTAGCCATGTCTCTCTTTAGCCAGAATGCACGATGTTTGTGTACCACATAGCCTCTGAACTTGGACAAGGAGGTAGGGAATGCTCCCAAACTGCTGCTCTTCTAGCTCTAAGTTGGCCAAACTTTATGACCATTTGAATGAAAGAGCAGCTCAAGGAGGACTGTTGGATTGATACGGAGTTTGTAAAGGTCTGTGATAAAATCCTTTCTAAATGGTAGTTGGAAGTGGGGCTAGAGGACAAAGTGTGCAAGCTGAGCTGCCTTTGAATCTGTTCTGCTGCCTGCTCAGAAAGAAGGGGCAACAGATGTTTGTAACTGGCAGAGTTCAGGACAGCTAGAACAGTCGTTTGGCTTGTTCCTTACAATTTGCTGTGCTATAACTCCAAATTATGGAAGCAGTAGGGAGAAGACTCAGTGGGGATAGAAGACCTGGGCTTTTCTTTCAAGAACTCAGTATTGAGGGATGTGTTGTTTTGTTTTTGACAGATCTATGTAGACGAAGCCAAAAAACTGGTGTATTTTCAAGGCACAAAAGACTCGCCCTTGGAGCATCACTTGTACGTCGTTAACTATGAGAATCCTGGAGAAGTGAAGCGGCTGACAGAGCGTGGTTACTCTCATGCCTGCTGTGTCAGCCAGGTACCATTCGTTTGTGAGGCCCTGGGTGGGCAGGGCTGGCTGTGTGTTGTGCTTTATCAACCAACCTGGTCCTTCATCAATCAATGGACAAGCTTGTATTTAAATACCACTGTTGATTTTGCAGGTGTTTTTTGGATTTTGGGATGTTAGTATCCAAATCCAGCTGAGGATTGTAGCTTCTCAGAGCCTATCTGCTCTTATCACAAAAGAGCCCAGACTTCCTGGGTTGATTTGGTTTCTAAACATCTGAAAGATCAAAATTCAGAAAGAACTTATCCCTTTTGCTTATACTGAGGAATTCACAATAATGTTCTTTTTCTCTCTAGGATTGTGACATGTTCATCAGCAAGTACAGCAACCAGAAGAACCCACACTGTGTGTCACTTTACCGGCTGACAGGACCTGAAGATGATGCAGCTCACAGGACAAAGGAGTTCTGGGCTACCATTTTAGATTCAGCAGGTAACAGCTTTGTTAAGGAACTGCCAAAGGGCAACCAGCATCACAGAGTGAAAGATTTCTTCAAATATGCTCATTTTGGCTTTGCTTCTTGTGGGTAACTCTTGGCTTCTCTGTGAAGCTCATGCTCGTGTGAGAAGTTCTTAGATGAAGTTCTTAAAGGAGTGACACGTTCAGCTTGGAGACAAATGGGTATAAATTGGCTGTGAAGGAATTCAGAGTGGAAATTATTAAGTTTCTATTGCCAGAGCTAGTAGGAAGATTAGAAAGCAAGTTTTATCATTAGTGGGGGTGGGTTTAAGTGAGTTTATTTACTCTTGTGCTTAATGTGCGTTATTGAGCATGTTTCTGGGCCTCTGGGGAGGGCCACTCACTCCTTAAATAGTTCTGTGCTGCGGTCTGCTCATGTCTTTGCGAGCTGGCTCTTAGGGTTTTATTTTTCCACTGTGATTCTGTTACCTTTCATCTTTCCTTCCCTGAGGCATAGACCAAATCCTGTGCTTTCCATGTATTAATGCAGCGAATCCTAAATGGAGTTCGAAAGGGATGGGACACATTGCTCTGTCTGTGAAGAGCAGTTACCATTGTTCAGACGAGAACAGGAATGGGAATGTGACAGGGCTGGGAAAGCTCTTCTAGGGCCTGGGCATTCCCAATCTCTGCCTTGTCCCAGCCACATCCATTGGAAGCACGGGAGAGCTGCGTTATCTGGGATGCACCAGGAGTGGTCTTGGGGCAGGACTGGAGCAGAGCTGCATTATTCATCCATTCCCTGTTAATCCAGGCTTTGTTCCTTCCCATGGCAGGCCCTCTACCTGATTACATTCCCCCAGAAGTGTTCTCCTTTGAGAGCTCCACGGGGTTTACACTCTACGGGATGATGTACAAACCTCACAATCTGCAGCCTGGAAAGAAGTACCCCACTGTGCTTTTCATCTATGGAGGGCCTCAGGTGAGTGCAGTCTGTGGGCAGTGGGCTGGCCTGGATCACTTCATTCCCAGCTCTCGTGTGTGCACAGCTCCTGCTCTGTGCTGGGGATAGCCTACTAAGCCAATTTCAGATTTTATTTACTGTAAATGTTTTACACATTTTTACAGTGTAAATCTTTCAAGATCCCTGGCGTAGGATTCCCTCTCTTTGCGTCTGGTCTGCTACGAAATTGGCTTAGTAGGTATCCTCTGAATTTCTTTACATGAATGCTTATATCATTGTTCTTCTATTCTAGGTACAGCTAGTGAACAACCGGTTTAAAGGAATCAAATATTTCCGTTTGAACACCTTGGCCTCTTTAGGCTACGTTGTTGTTGTCATTGATAACCGGGGATCCTGCCACCGAGGACTGAAGTTTGAAGGAGCCTTTAAATACAAAATGGTAAGTGCAGCTCTTCATTCAGGTTCTTCATTTTCAACCAGATCAGGTTTGAGTCCTGTTTTTATCCGAACTGAAGCACCAGTTTGGCACAGATGCCCAGCATTGCCTGTGTAACACTGCCTAAGTTTGGGTGGGAAGCCACGTGTAGTTGAGTAGAGTGGATGTGAGGGAGGAAAGATGCTCGGTGTGGAAAGTGTACAGTGTCAAGTTTTGAGCTTGCAAGCTTGTCAGGTGTAAGGGAGTGTGATTTGTAAGGGGATCTCTGATGCTCTGAGCGGAAATCCTTTGCTCTCACAATGCAGGATAGTTTCTTCCATAGCATGGGTTACAACTCAGAGCAGTTCCTGTGTCAGGCTGGAAAGGGGAAAAATGTTTGGCCATGTGTACTGGCAGGGACAGCCTGTGCCAGGCTCTGCTGGCATTGCAGCGTAGCTCTCGCTGTTGGGAAGAGCATTTTCATGCCTGGAGCTGGAGTTCTGCCTTGCCTTTGTACAGCAAAAAGTAAAAACACTGAGAAATCTTCCTCCTCCCTAGGTAAGGAGGTAAACAAAGAAAAAGACAGTTACTAGGTGGCTTAGCATGTATTTATTGTCTTAGAAAAGGGGTCGTCTTTCTGTAACGTGCCCAGTGCAATGGAGTGCTGGTGTCTGGACGGGTGCTGTGCAGCCTTTGGGAATCCTGAGAATGTAACTTTTGGCTGGAACTAACAACTTGCCTTTTCTCTCCCTTCCCAGGGACAAATTGAAATCGATGACCAAGTGGAAGGGCTGCAGTACTTAGCATCCCAGTATGACTTTATCGATTTGGACCGTGTTGGCATTCACGGCTGGTCCTACGGAGGCTACCTCTCTCTTATGGCTTTAATGCAGAGGTCAGATATCTTCAGGGTATGTTCGTACATTGAGTACTTCTTCTGGTGGTGCAGACAGAATTTTTCCCTTAATCGTGTGACCTCCCTCAGGTGTTCACAACACAAAGATTTTTGAGCTAGCTCTAGACAAGTGAGGACACAGTGCTCTGCCTGTTTCCTTCAAGAATCTTCTAGTTGAGTGAGTTCAGATGAAAGTTGCTTTTCTGGCATACATTCCTTCCACAGTATTTCTAATTAGGCTTCCAGGCTTTGGTTATCCTTTTTATATGTCTCAGACAACAGATCTGAGAATCTACTCACTCTTTAAAGCTAGTGCTTGCTAGCAAGCCACAGTGCCTTTTTAAACCAGCATTCATTGGGTACTGTGAGAGCTGTTATAAGTTGTTCTGTGGTCTTGGGTTGTCTCTTCAGTTTTCTGCACTTGTGTTTCTGTCTGGAACATGGGGATGAGATGCTCTTCCTCTGTCATGCTGTCACTGCTGGGCTCTGAAAGGTGTTTGGGACTGGCACACACATGGAGTCTGTACTGGGAGAGCTGTGTGATTCAGCTTTTCAGAGACAGTGATACCTGGGCAGCCTGTATAATATGAATAGAGATGTCTCAAATCAGCAAATGATATTTGTGCTGCTCTTTCCCACCTCTCTGCACGAGTTTTCAGCCTTCATCCTCAGGGGAGTGTGGTGTGACTGCACCATCACTGTGCCTGCTTGCTTCCCCCAGCTCCAGATGAGCCAGACATAATCCTGACCTGACGGGAAGGTGCTGTGTTGTCTGTGAGGCTGCCCACATTGATGCAGGCAGGGTCTTTTGGGCAGAGCACACTCGTGTCCAGAAAACCAGGCATGTAAGAGGAGTGTGGGGTAGTTCAAGTAGACCAGTTTTACTCCGAGGGTTTGTTCTTGTGAGCTGGGGTGAGGAGGAACAACAGTTTGCCCTGTTCAGCTGCACACAGAAGGATATTCCCTCTCCGGAACTGCATAAAAGAGCTTTCTTTAAACTGATTGACTGTTGAGCTTGCAATAACTGTGCTGGTGTAGCTCCACCAACCTGAGGTCACGTGCTGAAGGTGCCTCAAATAGTCTCAGCTGTTGCCAGCTTTGTGCCAGCTGAGCTCTTTGTGCTGTGAACCAACCAAGGGAAACAATCCTGCTGAAAAACAACACCACCGTCTCTTCCTCCTCCGGTCTGACCTATTCCCAGATCAAATTTGTAGCAGTGTGCTGCACAGGGCAACCTGGCAGTGGGGAGAGGTGCCAGAAAGAGGTGCTTGTGGTTACATGACTTGAGACCACTATAGCAAATGGTCAGGCTGTTGGTGGGCAAATGTTGGAGGCAGCGATGTGCTAAGAGCTGAATATTGCCTCAGGACGTATTTTGTTCTTTGGGGATCTTCTTGCTTTGTGCAAGTCCAACCTCAATATTCCTTGGAGGTTTAATCATTATTTTTCTAAAGTCATGGAAAATCTTTGTATTATTACTTTTAAAAATACCTGGCCAAGGAAGAGTCTTTGGTTTGTTTTTAGCTGGTCTTTTTTCACAAGCCTCTCTGCAAGCTTGTGGTAGGTATCCAAGGGGAAATGCTGAGTCCTGGGGAGTTTTCAAGGCCAATTTCTGTTAGACATTTATGTAAACGAAGGTTCTGTGACCCACAGCAGAACACTGCATTTTGAACAAAATCTGCTTACCTCCCGCAGGACTTGCAGGTGGTATATTCAGTGTTGCTTCTGATTTGTCTGTAGGATCTTCCTGGTTTCCAGCAGCTGCCTGATTTTCAGTACACACAGTCTGTAGTTGAACTCTGCTCATATATATATATATTGACATATGTATATATATATATATATATGTATATATAAATAATAGTTGCATTTGCAGGTTGCTGTTGCCGGAGCACCCGTCACGCTGTGGATTTTCTATGACACTGGTTACACAGAGCGCTACATGGGCCACCCGGATCACAACGAGCAGGGATATTACCTAGGTTCGGTGGCCATGCAAGCTGAGAAGTTTCCTTCTGAGTAAGTTTGGGTTTGGCTTTTCCTTTCTATTCGTGTCAGGAAAGTTCAGGCCCCACAGACATATATTTATCTCCCTTTTCTTGGCAATTAAATCCTGGAATCATAAATGCTAGTATTAAAACAAAAACAGCACTAATAAACTTAATAGACTTGAATGAACATTTGCATAATTACAGACTATTCCAAGTAAGCCCTTTTATTCTAGCTGTAATTAAAGACCATCTTTTATGTCTAAAGAAATGACAAACACATCCCCAATTATATGATTAGCACTTCAGAGTTGAGTTAAGCTAGACAAAAAACAGTCAATCAGGATGCTTTCTGCATGCTCTCAGTCTGTATCAGCATGGAGTTGTCTGCAGAGCAGGCTGAGATCATGGGTTTTCTGGCCAAAGAGCTGAAAAACAGCAGTGATTCTGAGCAAGTGTTAAGCCATTGTGTTGTCCAAGCTAGGAAATGCTTCTGAAAATAATGATGTGCAGATGAGAGGTCTGACCATGATGTGCATATGCAGAAAGAACTTGTAGAGGAGGAAAGGATTGGTTTGGGACCAGCTGCTGGTCCATTCAGAGCGATTCACAATAGCGAAGTCACTCTTCAATGCTAATGTTTTTACTGTCAAGTGTTTTTGGAGGGGTGTTTGTGGACTGTGAATGACTGGCAGATTCTGGGAGATACTATTTAGAAATGTTTGTTTCTTGCTTTTCTCAGACCAAACCGTTTGCTGCTGCTACATGGGTTCTTGGATGAGAATGTTCACTTTGCACACACTAGTATTTTGCTCAGCTTTTTAGTGAGAGCTGGGAAACCGTATGACTTACAGGTAAGGCTGGAACCAAGATGTGAAAATGTTATGTCTGTCTTTGAGGAGTACAAAATTCCAGCTTGTAACATGGCAGCTTGGAATTCTAGGATAAAACTCAATTTTATTTTTTATTTTTTTAAGTGGGAAACTTTATGAGTAAACCGAAACAATATTAGGCAAATGAGCAGTTAAGGCTGCTCCCAAGGAGCTCTGCAGTTTGGAAGCAGTACAGCAGTGTTTGTGCAGCGTAGAGCAGGGTTATGTATTTAATTAAACCCTGCTGGTGCTGTGCAGATGCAGCCCAGGTTATCGTAAGCCATGCTGCAGAACTGGAAGCATGCTGATTTACATGATGGCTCTGAACAGGATCTGCCTCTGTTCAGCCATGCTGATCGCCTCCAGCTAAGTACTAGCTGCATTACAGGGTGCAACGGGTTGTCTCCAGGTTCAGGCAATGGAAGAGGGAAATGTATTAGCTCGAGTGCACACAGAGCTAGTAGCTAGTGCAGGGAGTTTACATGCACATTTTGAACCTGGCTCTGGGGCCCAAAACCTTTGTGGATACTCATGACTTTATTTTATATTTTAGATCTACCCTCAGGAGAGACACAGTATAAGGGTACCCGAGTCGGGAGAGCACTATGAACTCCACCTACTGTATTACCTGCAGGAGAATCTGGGCTCCCACATTGCTGCCCTGAAGGCGATGTAACTGACCTCTGCAGAACTCTGCTCCACTGGCTGCTTTACTGAATGAGGAGATGCAGGAAACTAGAGAAAATAGGATGGAACACTGCATTTTGGTGCCTGCCATGTGTACACACACACACACACACACACACACACACGGAGACACTTTTTTTTAAAGTAAATTCGGTGCCATACAGGAAATTAAAGGACGGTGGCCTAATAACTTTAAAGCTTAAGATGTAAATAAAATCAAATGTCTGTGGTGTAATGCAGTACCATGGGTGTTCTCTCGGGGGAGGAGCTGAAACTGAGAATAACATACTTCTACAGCACCAGAACTTCACATTTTAAAAGCATTCTGATCTAATTGATGTATTTTTACAGTGTGTTCCTAGGTATCTTATTACATAATACTAGAAGGTGTACTACACAGCAGAAATTCACCTGGATGGTTACAACTTAAATTACATTTTAAATGTTATCGTATAGTTTTTATGCTTCACGAGGGGGATGTGTCTCACTTCTGAGAAGTCAGTCACAAGTTAGACACATCTCCTGTCTAGATGCCAGTTGTTTTTTAAAAAGAAACACTTTTAACTGCTTCCTAAATATTTTAAATTTTGGATTCAGTTGAGTTGATGCCATGTTCTTTTCAGTTATTTCTTCTCTCCCCAGGATAAATCCTGCCTTTTTTTTTTTTTTCTTTTCAGCAGCTTGATACCCTGTCCTGATTGTACTTGATTTCACCTGGGGAAGTGAAGCGATGTTTTACTGTTATGTGGGCATAACAATCTTTTATTCTGAGATGCAAACTAATTTAAGACAAAGAACTGAAACTTTGTGGATTTTAAAACAAGCTTAAAAGTGTAGCCCATTTCTTGTTGACATTTTTCCCTGCTGTTCATTCTGGAGCTGTTTTTGCAGTACTGTTTTCTGACTGTCACATCAGCATGATATAGGTATATAAATCCTGTTACAATTTTAATATACAATACTCTAATTCAAAGGTCTACAGAGAATTTGGTGAGGAGAGACCTTACGAACACTACATGTGAGGCAATGTGAACTGTTGTCGTGAATTTCCTACTTTATTCAAGGGATTATTTCCCAGACTCGCACTCTTTTCAGTCCTCCATTCCTGGGTCATTTCTAGCACTGCTGCCTAGCATGATTATGATGCTGTATTTGAGAACCCCCTCCCTCTGTGTAGCTTAAGGTAACCCACTAAGCCTAAAAGATCTGCAATCCCAGTTGTGTTTTTGTTAGTGAGGTTTTAACTAAGCAGCAGGCTTGGCTAAAAAGCATCGCGTGTGAAGTCTCTTTTAACTTGCAACAAGTCGTTTAAGATAGAAATCCATAGCAAAATGATTCTCTTTAATCCAGGAAATTCTCCCCTTGGGGCCTGCCTCTGAGACTCCTATAAGTTTTAATGGTTTTCTTAGAAACCTAAGAACTTCCTTTTCTTTCTGTTTTGGTGCTGGAGAGAAGCAGAGCATGATTTTTCTTTTCATCTTTTAAAAATCTGGAATCACTCTCAGTGTTTACGCTCTTAGTACTCCACATGTCGTAACCTCGTATTTTACTCGCTTTTGTACTGTTCAGCTTGACCCCAAAGCTCCGGGATTTAACACAATCTGGTTGTGTTGTATCAAACCGCATCATTTTTCAGTGAGGCTGCTGGACATATGCACCAAAGCAATCGTGGCTGGTGCAGTTACACGGCTGTAAAACCGCTGTGTGAGAACAGGATCTGTTTTTTGGGTTATGCAAAAGATAGCCAAAGCAAACAGGCATCCAGTAAGTGTAAATTTCCTCTGACGTGGGAGTATTTGGTTTGGGATGTTTTCTGTTTTTCAGATCACAGGGGTTTTTAAGCGGATCAGATAAAATGCTACTAGCAGGTCAATTACAGCCTTACCGTTTTGATTTGGGGAAGGGCATAGCGTGGGAAGAGCCCAGCTCCTTATAATGTCTTCTACTTGAGTAATTAATTTTTGTGACTGAAGCTGGGCTATCCGGAGTGTGCTATAGTCAGTACTGAAAGAGGAATAAGTGTGCTGATGCACTTGAACTGGAGCATGGCAGTGAGTAGGGAAAAGTATAAGCTGTTACTATTGAATTCCTTTTTGTTTCTTAAGTGTTCAAGCTGTATTATATATACATATATCTATATCTGTTCATATATACATATATGTATAGAATTACACGTGGATAGTATCACCTTTTCCAAGGTTGTTTATATTTTGTTCAATATTTAATTAACTTGTTTTTTGGGGACGTTTTTGCTCTTTTTCTAGAGGTGATTACCCTTGAATGTAAATGTATATGATTTTTAAGATAAAATGGATCCTTTTGTTTAAAAAATGAAAAAACAAAAATGGCCTTCATCAAATAGTGCTTTTTGGCAACTGAAGAACTAAATGTTATGCAAGCAAACTGGGCTAGGTTTTGGTTTAGCACAGGATGTGATTTTAAGAGCTGACATATAACTTCTAAATAATGCATCCTTTCTTTGTTTTAAATATATATATATTGAAAAGCTATTAAAGTACAAAGTACTGTACTCTATTTTGCAACATAAATTATGTATTTCTTTCTTTCCTACAAAAGTTTTTTTCTTTTCACAGCAGTCAAGCACTTTAAGACCCCATACTCTCTTATCCTGCAGTAATGCTGTGAGGATTTGTCATCAGAGTTTTTGTGGTTCTCGCAAAAGACGCCTGCTTGTAGTTGAAGGTGTCAGAGCTGCCTTGTATGAGGTTTGAGACTGATGAGGTAGGGAGATGCTGAGGACTCCCAAAACAGAGATTAGTGCATCCCTGTGGGGGATCTGCCATCAGCAGAGTGCTCTGTGCCCAGCAGGACACCTGAGCTGAGCAGTAGCAGGATTTGAGCCTTCATTGCGTGGTGGATATTGGTTTCTTCCCCACAGTTGCACTGGTATCTCCGAGAGGAATGTTTTAATTTCATATCTTGAAATCAAATCTTTGAAACCCGGGGACCTGAGCAATGAGAGGCTGGAGTTGAGTGGTGATGCCAGCAGTTTTCTTGTTCGTGGTGCTTGGGATTTGTTGAGGTTGTTTCTGTCGGGGCAAGTTCTTTGGCCCCTTTTTAAGGCCAGTTTCCAGTAATTCCTTCAAGCTGGGTTTCACCCTTCACATAAGATTTGTATTCCCTACCCCACCCTGTTGTTTTCAATGATCTCCTTTTATTCAGAACAAAATATAACTGGTAATTACCCAGAGCCGCTTAATTTTCATAAACTCTCGTTAACTTCAAAATGTTTGTTAATGAAATAATGAATTCAAAGCACCACGTACAGCTTTGAAAATCAGCTAACTTCATTACGCTACAATGGAAAATGCATTCCCTAGTTGTTAGTGCCGTTTGGGAATAAGTTACGGAAACCCTTTTTGGGCAGAGAGGTGGAATAATGCTTTGACCCCGGAGCAGCATACATGGAGCCTGTGTGGCAAATGGTGGGGAATTCACCAACTGAGCACGGGGTCCCTGCACCTCCTCCCTGTGGGCTGTGTGTCCGTGAGGAAGGGAGGCTGTTTTGCTGCTGGCATGATGCTCAACTTCTGGCGAGGCAATAATAAGAGAATAAATAAATAAAATAATCAGCCAGACGAGGACACTGCCTTGAATTGCCTGTTTACTTGAGTACCAGAGCCCTGTAAAGACTTTTGTGTACCCCTCGCAGGTCTTTGGGCCAGTCCTTTTGAAGGGGAAGAGAGAAGTTCATGTGTTTTTTACTTGGATGTTCTGCACAGTAGAAGATCAGGTGTTTAATTTTAGAACATGAAGTGCCTGCTGTTTGCGTTAACAAACTTGCATGTCTCACCCCGGTGGGTTTGCTGGTCTCCCTCCCTCCCTTCCCCACCTCTCTAGCTACCCGGCTTTTAATCATGTAAAGTGGAGACATTAGTTTTGCTGCGTTTTATTACAAAACCTTTGTTGCAATAAAGATGCTGCTAAATAAATTGAATTAAATGTCCCCTTCCCCCCCTCCCTACCCCATTTACAACCGTCTCTCTCCTTGATTTAGTAGAGTTTGTGCATAATTAGATCTGTTCCCTCATTGTGCCGCGGAGAGCGGCAGTGATGGAGAGCGCGCGTGTGCATTTTATACGCTTGTTGGGTGTTTAGCGAAAGCATCTGTGATTTTTCCTGTCCCTTGTGATTAGGTAATTGGTCTAAACAGGGAAATTGGGCCTTCGCTTGGCCTAACGATGCTCCAGCTCCTTCGTGTTTGAGGGCAGCCACCAGCTGGAGCTGCGGCACCGCCTGCGGCCTACCCGCAGCTTGAGGCCTGTGGGGGCCGGGGGCCAAGCACCACAGTGCCTGTGGGGTCCCTGGGGTCAAGGTGGAATGGAAAGGCATGTGTGTCACCCCTCCTGTCCTGCTAAGCTTTAGGTACCCATAAAGTGGCTGGTGAAGGCCCCAGGGTGGTTATGTTGAGGTACAAGCCCCTCAGGGATGGGGCAGCCTGTTCCCGTGCCTCACCACCCTCAGAGGAAAGAATTTCTTCCTCATATCTAAACTAGAAGCACCCCCTGTTTTGGTGGCTCGGAGGCGAGCTGGTACCCAGCAGTGCGATGATGCATCGTGTCTCCCTGAGCTGCTGCAAAACGTTCTGGGTGGTGGTGATTTTATTCCGTCGTGATGAATAAATTATGAAGTTGCTTCCGTGACTAATTGCTACCACTTGGACTGACTGTCCCTCTGGGTATGCAACGGGAGCAAGCATTTCTCTTTAAAATCCACTTGCTGCGGATACTTGAGTTGGGCAAAGCAAAACACGGTCCTGGAGATGAGGAGGTTGCAGCGGAGGGTGAACCTCAAGCGGTGTCCCAGCTGGGCTGAGGCTTTGCAGAAATCTTTCAGGCTTTTGTTGCCACAGCCAGTGTGAGCGCTGCGTGCTGGAGGCTGCTGTAACGCCCTGCTCGGGTCTTGGTTAGGTGCATGGGGCTTTGTGAACACATGGGGATACTTTCATCTGAGTTTGTGTGTCGGGTTTGCTTCTGAATGGGTGTAGGCTGGAAAGCGATGTGCTGCAGGATCCCTGCTTCAGGTAGGAAAACAGCTGGGGTCAGTGCTTCCTGTGCAGACCTGTGGAAGGAGGGGATGGTGTCAGGGAAAATGGTCAAGCCTGAAGCGTTGTGCAGTGCTGGCTGCGTTACTGGCTCTGCTGGGGAGTGCCTGCGTGACCTGGTTCCCTCCTCAATCCTTGCCTTGGCTTCCCCTTTTACTAAACTAAGCTCCTGGGTAGAACTCAGCAGGGCCTGAGCCTGGCCTCTTGCTTTTGGTGCAATCATAAATCTAAGAGCAAGCTGCCGCAGCATTCACACCTCCATAACGGGAACCGATTGCTGAGGCGAGGCCAGGGGCCGCCAACATGGGCTGGCGGCCGTGGCACTGGGCTCCTGCGGCGGGCGGAGGCGCTGGGTCAGGAATGATGAATTGGCAGCTCCCACGTTCCCACATCACGCCGGCAAACAAGCGCTTTGTGCCGTCCCTCTGATTCTAAATGACTTGGGAAAACAAGCAGCGGTCTTTCAAGCAGCCATTTATCAACCCGTGTTCGCAAAAGAGGAGGAAACCAATTCCATGAGCCATTAGGCAGTCCCTCTCGCCGCCCTAACGCAGCAGCCCGTGTCTTCAGCTCTGCAGACCGGAGCGGGCTTTACAGCAGGTGAGCCGAGCATCCCGATTCAGGTGGCAATTATTTCCTAGTGATGATGCTGCCATGTGCAGGAGGCCAAACCCTGCATCAGATGTTCTGCGTGAGCATTGCAAAGCTTCGATTTGGAAGTGGGGGAGTAGCTCTGGTCAGAGTGAGAGCAGCCCAACTTTCTGCCCCAAGCACCCTCCACATGGTGCTGGGACACTTCTGGCTGCATTTCCAGGCCTACGAGAAGGAGTTGGTGTCTCTGGGAGCTCCTTGGTGTTTGCAGAAGGCATTTAGCAGGAAAAGAGCAAGAACCCCTTTGACTGTACCAGCCCAGGAAGTTTTAAGTTAAATTTGTGACTTTTCTGGCTGTGAGCTCTGTGTGTCCTGTGTTTGCTGCCTCAAATGCAGACACAAATACTGACCCATCCTAGCTTTCACCAGCATCACTTTCAGGGTGCTCAGCTTGCCCATGGCCTCCCCAAATGCTGCGCAGCGCCAAGAGGGGCACACGTGCAAGTGCAGCAGGGAAGAGCTCATCCTGCTGCAAGCACCGGGTTCCGGGATGCCAACAGAGCCCTTTCCAACCTTCAGTTGTTTTCCTCTGAAATTCTGGGAATCTTTTTTGTTTTGTTTTGTTTTCCTATTTTTTAAAAGACGGAAACCCGTGACTGTGAGGTGTGGGGTCCTGCCTTTCCCTGCGCACCCCCATGTATCTGCCAGCATTGCTGGAGGCTGCGGGCAGCAGCAGGGCACCCGCTCACTCTATGTCCCACCGTCACCATGGGTGAGAAACCCTGGGAGCAGACAGCCATGGTGCTGCACGCTACACTTCAGCCACTGATGCTCTGGAAACCCTTCGGGCTTTTCAGCCCCAATTTCTACCCTGTCCCCAGCACGCCATCAGACGTGGTGCTTTCCGAGTCCGCTCGCTCGGCTGTTGGAGATGAATAACCAACCCCGCAGTTCCCATGGAGACTCGTCCCTCCCGCGGCATCACCGCAGCACTTCACAGCCTTTTCAGGCTGCGACAAAACATGTTTTCCAGCATGATTTTAAAGGGGGAGAGGTGGTATTTGCAATGGGATGAGCTGGCAGGCATGTGCGTGCCTCCTGCTACTGGCTGCTGGAGGGAGCTGGACATCGTCCTGCGGGCCAGGGGGATGCTCTGCTTCACTTCACCAGCTTCAGATGGACGAGGGCTCTGCCATCGGGCTTCACATGGCCACAGTACCCCTAAATCCTCTCCCCAGGGGGCATGGGCATGCTGCTGGGGTGTCCCGTATGTGAAGCAATGCTCAGAATTTGTCCTCGGTGCGTAAGAGCATCATGGCTCTCTCTGCAGGGCATCCTGGTTGGCACAGGGTGGATCCATCTGTGTGAAAGCACCACGGATCCTGGTTTGGGGTTCACGATGCTGAGTTGTTGCTCCATAAGAGCTGCTCCCCCTCCAGCCTCTCTTTTTGGGCATTGCCCCCTGTGCTGGTCCTGCCCCAGCCCTGTCCTGCACGAGGGGCACAGCTTCGCTGCTGGAAGTGCCTTCCCAACATCCATGCTCTGAGAGAAGGGAGCAAGCATCCGGAGGAGAAATTTGTCCTTTGGGGCTGAAGTCATGGTTTATTTTTAACGTTCGGGCTTCGTAGTGATGGCCTGGGACAGCGCAAGGGAAAGATCTTTCCTGGAAGGCCTTAGAGCAGGCAAAACCAACCCTCCGCGCACCTGACGGGATTGAGAATGAAACTGCAAATGGCAGCGGGGAGTAAATAGCTGCATCTTCCTCCCCAGAGTCTCTCTCTCTCTTTTTTTTTTTCTTTTTTTTTTTTTTTTCAGGCTGAGCCAACAGACGGAGGGACACCGGGAGCTGCCGCTGAGGCTGCCTGGGAGGCGCGCAGCCTCGCGTGCTGGCCCCGCGCTCGCTTCCCACGCGGCATAGCCGGGGCTGGCCAGGAGCCAGGCTGTGCATTTCGCAGGGAGCTCGCGATTTCAATATTTCCTCGCGTCTGAAGCGGATCAAAAACAAACAGCGAAGGATAGCTCTGGCAAGCGAAATGCTGGAGAGGAAAAAAAAAAAAAACAACGAGCCCTTTCGCTTTGAATTAAGCCTTTTACGCTTGTGTCTGACGGTGTTTTAGTTAAAACCTCAAAACCTGTTTGAAATGGAAAGGCAAATGTGCAGGAACAGAGTGTTTTTGACCTCCTGGAAACTTTCTTCAGGTCATCTTGCAGGCAAATCCCTGTCAAAATAGAGGTGGCAGAGTACAGCTTGACCCAAATTTTGCCATTTCTGAGTTCGCCGATGGGGGCAATGTTCCTAGATGTGAAGCAAAGCTCACCTCGTGGATGGTTTGCCCCAAAGCATTTCTGTGCTGTGCCCATTAGAAGCTGTTCCAGCAGCTGCAAGGATCCGTTTGTGAACATCAAGGTGACTTTTGCTGGAAATTTGCTTCAAAGCCAAAGGAAGGGCTGGGAAAATGCACAGACAGGGCAGGGGGCAAAATGCAACCCAGCCAGGGGGCGTCCGAACAGCAAACAAAGCGCAGCAGTGTCTGGGGGCCTACAAAGCGTGTGCCTTGATAGGGCAGGGCATCATCCTCACCAGGCGCCCCGTCTCCTTGTGTAGAGGGAATTTGGGGTGGTTTTGGGGCACTTTGGCAGCCACTGGGTGGGGTTTTTGTACAGCGGAGCGCTCCCGCTCCAGCTGGCAAGGAGCGGTCTGTCTGTCTGTCCGTCTGGGCGCCCTGTCCTGGCCTTCCTCCCATGGCAGCCACAGCTCCCGGCTCCTCCAGACCTGCGAGCCCTCTCTCCTTTCCTATTCCACTTCAAAATTCACGAGAAATAGATGAGTAAACACCGCGTACGTTTGCGTGGGAGCAGCGGTGGCTTGCAGCTTTACGATCCCCCCCCCCCAGCTGTGATTCATTGCTTTTTACATTTTTTAATCTATTCCCCCGCTCCCCCCTCCCGCTCTCCCTCGCAGCCCAGCAGCTGTCGTTATCAGTGAAGGGGCTCGGCGGTATTTTTGCCATACTCTGCTTCTATTCATCGATTTGTTGAATGAAAACTATTTCTCCGGGGCTGTCGCGCGACTGGAGCCTTGGGAGAAGCAGCAGCTCGGGGGGCGTTTTGCTCCGCATTGAAACAACCTCATGCCACGACGGCACTCGTTCCTCATCCTAAATCCCAATTTCTGCAGCTTCCCCTTCCCTGCCACCCCACTGGGGTCTGGGGTCCTGCTGGAGGCAAACCTGGGGCTCCTTTGGGATGTGTGGGCATGGGGGACACCAGGAGGCAGAGGCCGTTCCCTTTTGCACAATGCGGTGCTGGAGCAGTGCTCCTTCACCTTTAAGCCTTTTATTTTTTATTTTATTTGCTGTTTTCTTTTATTATTATTATTATTTATTATTTATTATTATTATTATTTCAAATAAAATCACGGCAGTCACTGGCTAAATACCTGCAATGACAGGCGCTGGTTTCCTGCCAGCACTCCTAAAAAAAAAAAAATCCCAGTCTTCGGCTCCATCAATACCAGGGCACGGCTTGAAGGGCAGGTTTTGCCTGGGGAATGGGCTGTTGTCCCAGGGCTTCAGGAGCCCTTTTTCCCACCCAGCAATGGGGCCTTTCTTCCGGGCACAATGAGCCCTCTCGCTGCCTTTCTCGCCTTTTCTTCCCCGGCTTTCCCACATTCTGTTCACACCTTCATGAATATTCAGAGGCCATCGGCCATATGAAGCTATTGAGAGCTCTTGTTAACACTCCTGCTAATGACATGCACCTTCAATGGCAAACAAAAACACAGATAAGAGCTTGTTAGCGGAGACCCTTGTTCCCCACCTAACAAGGTTTCCATTGACTCGGCCACTTGTGGTGACACATTGCTTGCTCTCACTGTTGCCTCTTTTGATTCGCGACTGGCTTTTACGGAGGGGTTTTTTCTCCCCCTCTCCCATTTTTTATTTATTTATTTATTTTTTATTGTGCGGTTTTAAGCTAATTAAGGAAAAGGTCAGGGCTCCCCTACCAGTGCCTGGCGGTGCGGGCAGGAGATGCTCGGCCACGGCGCGTGGGAACACGGGGCCAGGAGCGGCATCGCTCAGCCCTGGCCCCAAATCCAAAGTCCCCAAGGGTTTCCTGCCCGGCCAGACGTCCCCATAGGCCAAAACGCTGTCCCCAAGGTGATGAGGTGGTTCCAAAATGCTACCAGGCCCCTGCACCATGCTCTCGGGATGCTCCTGGGAAATGCTGCTCCCAATTTCTGGCTCTACAAAGAGAGTGAAGCCTCCGTGATGCTGCGGCTCTGCTCCATCCTCCGGCTGTGTGTCCCTTTCCCCCGGTCACTGCTGCCATCCGTGAGGCTTTCATTAGGCTGGACCCACCCATTCGATCCTGCAAGATGCCTGCTTGGGTTTTTTTTTTTTGGCCACACCTCATTATTTCTGCTATTATTAGGCCCTTGCCGCGTTGTTTGTCATCTTGCCGAGGCCCCTCGGTTTCTATGGATACTGCCTCCTCAGTGGCCAGGCTATCAATTAAAGACAGCTTCAGCTCCCAACTCTTCCCGAGGACTTCGTGAGGATGCAGAGATAATTCCCCCAAAAAGCTCCGTTCAGCACGGGGTCGCCTTTTTGGTACCGGCCGCTCGGTTGCAGCTCAGCTTGTTCGGGTTTTCGAGGTGTCACCAGCTCGAGCACAGGCTTAATCCTAAAACACATGTACGAGACGTATAAACAATAATGAGATAACCATCATAGTGATGTAAGTAAGAGGCATCAGTGGAAAAATCCCTGCCATGGAATCGAAGGACATTTCTTTTCTTGTCCTCTGCTGTGAATGCACAAGGAGGGAAGGCCCGAGGCTTTTTTCTGCTTAACGCCCAGCTTCAGGACAGAAAAATATGTGATGCTGAGAGGAGGCTGAGCCTCTTCTGGCAATGAGACTGCTTGAAACTGTCTGTCTCCTGCTGAGTGGGACTGGGCTTGCTGTGGAGACCTCACCTGTGCTCATGTGGGCATTGCAAGGCTTCTCGGGATGGTTTTGGGGATGAGAAACCCTGGCCAGAGCTAGAGAGGAGATGCCGGTTCCATTCACCAGCTCTCAGATAGCTGCTTAATTTTTCCTTGCCTTTCTGCAACCATAAATTGTAGATATTTAATGATTTCTTAGAAATCTCAGGAGGCTTCATCCGGCCCAAAAACCCAAGCGCTGTTTGCATTTGCTCTCCGGGGAGAAATTGTGTCTCCGGGGGTAGGAGGCAGCAGGAAAAAGGCTTTGATTCTGATTCGAGTTCTGGCTGGTGATTACAATTCTTTATATGCTCTAAACCAGTTTATCTATCCCCAGGTAGATGCGTGCTGCCAGCAGAGCTGCAATATCCATCGAGGGCCGCCCAGAGGTATGAGGAATAAACTCGCGCATTATTAGCTAATAGAGGAAAGTGATTCGATATGGGTCTCAGAAGCTGGAGTAGATAAATAGGATGATAAATGTTGGCATTAGCAGACGTGACCGACTCCTCTGTCTCTGTGATTTGGTAGTGCCCAGTAATTAAATAGTTGGAGCCTAATGTATTTTAAACTAGAGCCGCAGCCCGTAAATCACGCAGATTATGCTCTTCCCTGCTGTGCGCTCTGGCTCGGGAGGAATTCCCATTCCCGTGGTGCAGCTGCCGCCAGCCCCGCTTAAACTACACATCCATCGGGTCTGGGGATGGCAGCACTGGTCCCATTGATGCTCCCGGCCAGAAAACCCATCCCGGAGCCCTGCAGCTCCAGCAAGCAGCGGGCACGGCTCATTTCCAGCTCAGGAGGGCTGCCCCCCGTGGCCTTTCCAGCTCAGGGTGTCTCATTCTGGTTGGGGCAGCTTCACACCCACCTGCAGGTGAAAGCACACCTGAGATAAATAACAACCCTAAAAAACACCAGCTGAAAAACAGCCCAGGGGGAAGAGGTGCTTGTGAAAGCCATGGTGTGATGCTGCCAAAGCATCCCCATTGGGACCCCTCTGCACACCCAGAAAGGGCACCAGCACCTCTCAGAGATCAGCAGGACACAAAAAGGATTTTGTAGACTTTATGAATTTTGTCCCAGTTGTGGCAGAGCAATCATTGTTTTCAGTGATCCCGATTTCATCTGTGTATTTACACTGAGGTTTAGTTTCCTTTGCAGCTGGACGACTACCTTGCACTAAATACATATTTTTGTCATACTTTTACATGGGTTGTCCAAGAAGGAGACCCAACAATTTCCAATGCAACACGAAGCTGCATCAAGGTAAGAGTTATTTTTTATCTTTACACAAAATCAGCCTCCATCTCTAATCCTTCTGTTGGCCAGACATTATCCTTCTGCAGGAGGTAGGACGTATTATGTGGAGTTTCTCCATTAACATTTAGCAAAGGCCAGATTTAAACATTTCCGTGCCATCCAGCCATTTTACACCTTTTAGCAATGTTCCTGGATGAGCTCTGGCTTTCATTTGAAAATGTCCCTGCGATACCTGGCATTCACAGGCGCCGCTTTGCAAGAGCGCTGTCACGCTGCCCCTGCCCACACGCGACGCTGCCTGGAAGCACAGCGCGATAAAACCTCTCCTCGCTCTTCCTGGAGGTAATTATTTCTAATAAAATCTATTTGTGCCTCAAATTCTTTCCTCTTCCAGCTCATGCATTTTTAAATAAAACGGGTAATTCTGCCGTATCAGTGCAAGTTATGGCCACTGAGGCCTTCCTGCTGTTCTGCACATGAAGACCAGGAGAAACTTTTCTCTGATGGGAAGTCTGAAGTCTTCCTGCCAACTACGTGCTTTGCCATGGGTTTTAATTCTTAAAAACAGCTTAAAAAGCTTTTAATCTTTGTCTTCTTCCTTTGCCAGCCCCATTGCCCAGCCAGGGGCTGCATCAGGCTGTGTCACAGCAAACCTTTTCCGTAGGTTGTCCATGAAGGGAACACAACAATTTCCAGCAGAGTTTGAAGCTGCATCCAAGTAAGAGTTATTTTATTTTTTTTTATCTTTATAGAGAGCTAATTCTTGCCTGGCTGCTCACAGGTGTGAAAACCCACACCATTTGCGTACAGAAGGGCTTCAGGGACCTCTTGGCTTGGATCGTGTTTGAGAAGTGACCTTGTTTTTATCTCCCTCCCCCTGTCCAATGCACTTCTCAAGCAGAGCAAGAGGGAAGGGGAAAAAAAGAGAGCTTTTCCCAGCAAGGAGATAAAACTTCCATCAAATTGGCCATGTCACTAGAGACCCAAAACTAATAAGTCAATCCTACAACTGTATAATAAACTCATTTATTAGGTTTTTATTTTAAGAGTTGGTGGTATTAATTAGATTGATATGGCCCATAAATCACTTGATTTGGCTGAGCCCTCAGATACTTGTAATTTAAATTAATACAAGTGCAGCTTAATTAATCTGATTAAATCCTGGGCCCAGCAAAGCACTCTTTGCAGCATCCAGGAGCACAGTGGTGGGGAAAATGAGTATTTTAAGGTAACTCAGTGTCCTCAGCAGAGGGTCAGGTGGCTTGGCTGGTGAATTGAAGGGCAGAGCTGCAGAAAAAGCAACCCATGAAAACCGTGGGATGAGCGAGGTAAGAGGCTAGGTGTGCAAACCCAGGCTTGAGCATGAGCTGGGAGTGAGTGTAAGCCACAGCTTGACCTCATCTGTGGGCATCAAGTAAATTTTTCTCTCCCTCCAGAGCGGGCTGGTGTGGAGGGAGGATGCCCGGACCCACTCCTCAACCCTCCTCCCAGTAAAAGCATTCTCTGATGATGTTTCTGGACACTGATACATCCTCTGGTGACGTTTCTGGATACAGGATCACATTAGTGACCCTTTCTCTCTTGCTGAAGGCACCCAGAGCCCATCTGCTTCCCAGCTTGGAGGGTGCCAGCCCCTGGCTGGGTGAATAGCACCAGCTAACCGCCCGGTGTTTCCTTCTCTTTTCTTCCAGAATGCTCTGGGTTGACAGCTCTCAAGATTGATGTTCCCTGTCTGTACAGCCCAGACAGCTGCTGTGCAGCCTTCCCCGTGCTATTTCGCCTTAATCCTGACTTCAAGCGAGCTCCCCCACGGATAAGAGCAGAATTCAGTTCCCCTTGTCCGCCCCAGCCTCGGTTTCTCTGCTGAGTGGTGGCACAAGTCTGATATTACCATTGTTTTGCCAAAAGCTGGACAAAAATCCCTTCCAAGGAGACTTCTGAGGAACCACAGCATGGGCAGCAGCACAGCACCAGCTTGGGGCTTGTGCAGCCACAGGTTGTGTCCGTGAGGGTACACACGCCATAAAATACGTTTTCTTATAAAAACAGGAGATAACACCAGTATAGCGGCTGCATTAATCTAATATTCTCCTTCATCACCAAAAGGGAATTGCCTAAATAGCCTGGGAGAGGCACGTTTTATGAGTTCTTCTTACGGGCTATCAATCAAACGTCCCAAGAAAGGCACTGATGCCCTTTTTGCTCGCCGGAGGGAAATCAGCTTCCCCACGGCTTTGCTTTCAGCCCGTGTAGCCCCGCAGGATAATAGCTGTGTTTCGGACGTTTTTGGCCAAGTTTTCCTCCAACCAATCTGGAGGAAAAACCCACACGGAAGAAACCTGTCAGAAGAGAGGGAAAAGAGCCCAATTAGAGGCAGCGATGTCTTAGCTCTCTGCCCTCTCTCCCCCGTGGACGAAGCAGATGTAAAACAATAGCTGGAGTTGTGGGAAATTTAATTGGGGACTTCAAAGGAAGCGGCGGCAGCTCCTTTGATCTTTCAGTGTGTCTGAATGTCGCGTTGCAACGGTGCCTGCTGGTCACGGCGGTGACCTCTTGTGTTAATTAGTGTTTATCTGAAATCGAATTAGCTCACAACTGGGAGAAAGCAGAGCGAAAATCAGAGGATAATCATAGATTTGTGCGATTCTCAATTAGAGGTAAAAGCGGGTCTTTGGCTGCAGAAGTTGACATTAAAATAACTCCGGGAACAGTACATTTTGGCTTTGTTTTCCTAATGCTCTTCGTCCGCTGGTACTATTTCTCTTCCTAATGCCCCGCGCTGCTTTCATCTTTGCTGAGTCTGCTGCTCCGCGGTGCTCGTTGGAACTTAAACCATAAACCAACAGCGAACAATGATGCATTATTTATAGCAGAGCGAGTGCTGTGAGGCTGACAATGGGGCAAAGCTCCTCTTTCTTGTGGTCAGTAATCCATAAATAAATACATCATCTACGGAGGGGTGCGGGCCGGTGTGATGGGTGGGAATAGCCTGCGCTGTACAGTGAGGGCACCGAGGATGACGTGGAAGCCAGCGCCTGGTTTTGGTGCAAATTGGCCACTTCTGAGCACTGGTGTTAAAAATCTTCACCTGTACAGAGGTGTGTGAGCTGCCCAGCCACCTTCCCAATGCCCTTCTGTGGGGCTGAGTGGAAAGAGGAGGGCAGTGAGGGTTTGTGGTGCAGGGAGATAAATGCATTAAAATGTCATGTTCTCTGTCTCAGTGTGAAATATCAGAGAAAGGCAGGATTTTGGAGCTCAAATTATCTCAAGAGGCCAGTATACAGTCCCAGTGCCTGAGCAGAGAGTAGCCGGAGATGTAGAAGTCAAACATCTGTCCACCAGGAACATCTGCAGAGCTTCAGCGTGTCGGACTGGAATGAAATCCCATTCTCGGGCCAGATCCAGGTCCCAAAGTCTCCGAAGTGCTTTTAGCCAAACCTTCCCTTTTGCTTGGAAGCCAGATTAGGGCACCGCCAGCTACAAGGTGGCCACTGCCTTGTGCTGATGTGTCCTGCACCACATCAGACAGCAAGGTGCTCCAAAAACACCCCGCTGGCACAGCCCCGCATCCCTGGGTGCTGGCTGCTCCATTTTCTGGGGTCAGCCACAAGAGGGTGGCATGATGATGCTCACCACGCAGCCTCCCTGCTTGCCGCCGCTTTGCTCCTAGCGTGGCATTTTACAGCCAGCTCTGGAGACGTAATAAAACTTCGGAGCAGGTCTTTCCTTTTGGCACATGAACACGTTTCCCACTACAAAGGAGCCTGAGGGGTGTTTCTGACGGCAGCGCTGACGGTGCAGCGGTCCTTGATGTTACACGTGTTCCTTATGCCCAAACCCAAGCTCGGTTAGCAGGTAGCTCAGCAGCGCATAAAATTCAGCCTATTGAGGGATCCGAACTTTTATTGGCCCTGCTGACTGCTGTTAGGAGAAGCCCACAGGTGTTCTTTATGAGCAAATATTATTTTTCATAGTCTTGTCTGTTTACAAGGCGGTGATGTTCTGTGCAATGCTTTGTAACATGTTGGGATGTTTCTCGCAGACCTTTATTTGATTATAGCTTGCGGTGAACAGGCTGGTTAACAAATATACACGCACAAAAAAAGACTCATGTGACAGCAAGGGAGACTAACTTGAATGAAACATTCATCTCATCAAAATCTGCCCAATCTGGGCTGTCTCAGTATGTTTTTCTGAAGCAGGCTTTCAGTAACCCAACCCAAGCCACTCATCTTGAATAATGAATCAGTGGATGGGGCTCTGCGCAAGGCAAGTTAGCATTTCATTTTGCAAATCCTTGCTTGGGAGACAAGTCCCAGTAATCAAAGAACAGGGCACAGAGGATGTCCAGGTAGCAATATGAGTCGAAGAGACAAAAAACAAACAAACAAACAAAAACACCAAGTTTTATTTGCACAGCTTTGTGAGCGCTAGGATATTTTTAGGTTGCTTTAACCTGATGGTTTTCCATGTGCAGGCAGGTGATGTTGATATTCAGAACACACTTTTGCCTTGCTGTGAGTTGTTTTGGAGCCTGGCATTCATCTGAAAGCAAAATCCCCCAGCCTGGATCTGTGCAGGATCCTGCAGGGTGTGCCTCTCTGTGCACTCGTGGTCCTGCCTGTAGGACCAGGGCCCGTGTTTGCAGAACCCCCTTTTACCACAAACCCATTTTAAATACAAGCTTCCGAATCTCATTACCTGCTGGCTTTCCCTCTTCCATTTGTTTTTCTCCTAACAATGCACCTGCCAATATCTGCCCCAGAGCCCCATTTTAAGTGGCATTTTCCATTGTTAATGTCACACTCCTGCTCCCTATCTGTCTTTGGCAAGTGCTGACTGCCTGCAGCAGGACCAGGGAAGAGGGAAAACCCTCTCTGGGCATAGCAATAACACAACACCCATTCCTGGAAGAATGATGAGATAGCCCGTGCAATAAATATTTATAAGAGCAAGTGTAATGAAATGAATGTGTAGTAGACTGAGGCTCCCTTAGGGTTTGGTCATCACATGTTTTTTTCCTCTTTTCTTTCTTCTCTGTTATACAGAATTGTCCTGATGTCCCCGGGTTGTCGAGCAAATTGCTTATTGTGTTGCTCACTTACACAATGCATGTTATTATGTGCAACCAGCTGCTCCTGTTTGGCATTGCTCGCACATACGGAGCAGGAGGCTACCGTCACTTCTCTCGTCTGGAAGTCAACGCTCCCTCTCGCGCTTAAGTTGCTGCCGGGCAAGGAGAATTCTGGCCTCGGAGCGAGTCCTGGTGGTAAAGGTCCCCGAGGGACTCCTCTTCTGGGAGGAGTGAGGTGCAGTTCTGTGATGAGTTTGAGCTGATCCAGCTTTGTGCTGCATTGAAAGCTTCCTCGTGCCTCTGCCTGTACGTTCCCGTTGCTTCCCTGGTGCTGGCACTGACCCTCGGGTGACTGCGTGGGCAGCTGGAGCAGAGGGTTGTTCTTGTTGTTTTTGCTCTTGCCAGTGAAGTTTCCAGCTCCGTTCCTTCCCCTGCCCGGCTCCACACTCCTAAAAGCACAAATGCCAGCACAAAGGAAAGAGCAGCCACCTCTTCTGGCAGTGAGAGCAGCTTACATCCCTCTCAAAACATCAGCCTCAGTGTTGGAGGGCTGGCTGTGGTCAAAGGTGGTCAGCTATTCCATTTAAAATCTGTTTCTCCCTTAATTTTGAATTTACTTCTATTTTTTTCATTTGCTTCACCTTCTCTGATGCTGGACCACATGTCCTCCAGGCTCTGAACCCCCCCAGGAGGCAGGCAGAGAGCATTTTTAGCTGTAGGACCCGGACTGAACCTGGGTTAATATTGCACTGCCTAATTAACAAACCCATGCAATGCGCTGTGAACCTTCTTGTTCCTCAGTGCTTCCTCTGTGTGTGTGTGTGTATATTTTGGGAGCAGGGGTTGTTCTTTCCCTTGTTTGTGTCCCCGTGTCTTGCACAACTGGTTCCTGCTAGCCTGAAGCCAGCAGCAGCCATCTGGGAGTGGACATGGGCTGCTCAGTGTGGGTTTGGGTTCGGAGCCTGGCAAAGCTCTGGTTCAGGCACCTCTGCAACACGTGCTGCAGATTTGGGGCCTCTTCCATCTATACCAGAGGCAGGAGAGGGCACCTTCCAAAATCGCTGTCCCCCCTGGACTACAAGCTGACTGCATGGGTAAAGCTCCTGATGAGCTGGATAAATCTGAAGCAGCTTTAGCTGGATTTCCCCTAACAACCTCTTAATTGCTGGGATCTTATACTGACCGAGAGATGTGTATGACCCACCCTCCACACACCTGACCCACCAAAGCTTAGTGTCTCCCTAGCAGGGAGCAGAAGGCTCACACACCTGCCTCTTGCTGCTGCTGCTCTTTGCCATTCACACTTTCTCAGCTCAAAATATCGGAGGTTTGCAGCTATTGTGAGGCAGAATGAAACTCCTTGCTAACAGGGACAGGAACACTGGGGAGCTTGCAGCACATGAATGTTTTTTTTTACTTGCCATAAGCATTGGGGCAGAACTGTCCTTATCTGGGAAGGAACATCCCTCCTGTTGGCACAGTCTGCTGTCACTTTGTCCTTTATGGTTTTACGGCCAGGGGGTTATCTGATCCATCCCAAATGTACAAAGTGGCTCTCTCCCAGGCTCTCCTTCCTCTGCAGACACTGCGAGGAGTCATTTCATACCACACAGGACATCCTTGCAGGCTCATGCCTACCCAGGAGGTGTGACACCAGGAATGCCTGCCTGGGTACGTGGGGCAGGGTCCTGTGAAAGTAAAGGAGTTGTCCTATGGGGACATCACTCATTGTGAGCTTGCTTTGTCCCTGCTGGTGCAGGTGACAAGGGGGACAGAGGGGACTTGGTGTTGCTCTCGCAGGGTATGTGAGTTGTATGTGTGACAGGAGCTGGTGCTCCAGGTCATGTTACAGCCATTCGCACAGTTCAAGGCTGTTTGCTAAACTCCCATGTCCTTTTTTTTTTTCTTTTCCTTTTAATTTTTATTTTTCTCTCATTGAGAGAAGAAACGTAGCTGCTGCAAGCTTGGTGTTGTTAAAATGCTGCTTTAATTCCTGCTCCCACTGACCTGCAGAATACAGAGAGAGGTGACAGAGAGGTCTTAAATAACACTGTAAAGTCAGGCAGGAGGCAAAGATGAGAATTGCTCTTGGGTCTTTTGATGCCCAGGTCAGTCCCTGCTTCTAGCCCCACCTGCTCACAAGGAGCTGGGTCAATGGCTTAATGCAGGCAGGTGCTGTTAGCCAGAGAGCTGTGTTCTGCAGACTGGCAGCAATTGTCATTATTTATGTTATGCTGGATTTGCCAGGTATTTCAGTAAAGGTTTCCTTGCTTTAAGGCAAGGAGAAACGTCCAGTATCTGAGGAAAAGCGCAGGGGTGTGTCTATGAGCAAGCATAATGAGGAGGCATTCCTCTAGCCTCGTTAAAGCAATTTGACAGCACCTTTAAAGCCACCTCACCCAGAAAGGAGCAGACAGGAAAGATTCAGAGATAAAGGAGAGCTTGCAGGGGTTGCTAATCTTCAGCTCTGCATGGGAGTAATGCAGGAGGGAGCTGAGTTGATTAGAAGTCTCCTTTCTGTCTATATTGGGTCCATGCACATTAAAACCAGGTTGCTACGTGCTTTGTTGCTCTGAAACAAAACGGCACCCAAAGTGGGCAACGTGGCATCAAGCTGGTGTTATTGGTGATGGTGCAGGAGCGGGGCTGGTGGGTTTGTTGTGGCTGTGTTGTAGCTGCCTCCCCAGCAAGGTCCTGGAGCTGGGCACAGCCTCTGAGTGCCCCTGCTCAGGGCAGGAGCTGCTGGCTCCAGGACTCGTCTGCGCCGCCAGTGCCAAGCGCTGACTTGGGAGTTGCACAACTCGTACACATGGGGAACCCGCTTCCCACCACACAGCCTTTCTGGTTTCATTTAAATTTCTTTTATAGTTCATTAAACAAGCTAATAAATAGGAGGGTCTGCATTAAAAAGGTTTTCCTTTTTCATATTCTGCATAGCTGGAGCCCTCTCTGCATTCCACCCCGCAGCGATAAAGCATCCCAGTGAGCCAGGCAGCCTCTTCTCCTTTCGGAGGCCGGTGCAGACCGTCCCCTGCCTGCTCCACATGCGGCCACATTTTGTTTTGTGCCAGCTGTGCTGTGGAAAGCAGGACTGGGTGTCATTTACCCTCAGGACTAACCCTGCACCTGTAGGTGCACACGTGCAGCATGGAGCTGTGTTTGGGATTCAGCCAAGCCGCGGAGGCAGCGGCCTCGGTCTCCATCTCTCAGCACTCTCTGCCGTGTTTTCACTGCTCGGCTTGGCTGGTGGATGGCACCCCGCTCCTGTGGCTGTGTTTTGGTGGTTTTATTCTGTTAAAAAGACGGCTGAAAGCGCAGGTTACCCTTTCACAGCCCTGAAGCCCACCGTGGACTCTGAGCCCTCACCCCACGGACCCCAGCCTGTGCGTGGCCGCTGTGAGCCATGGAGCGGCTCCAGCCTGCTCGTCGAGGTGCCAACACCATGAAGGCAGGACGGATGGATGGATGGACAGATGGATGGACACACAGATGGATGGACAGCGCCGTGAGGAGGAGGACACCTTGCTTCCTCCTCATGCAGCGGGGCGGTGCCCTCCACCCTCACCTGCGCCCGTAAATAAATAGACACAAGGAAGGAGTGGAATATATTTTTTTTAATAAATAATTAAATAAAACCACACCAAACGCTCCCAACGCCCCCACTTCCCCACCTGCCGGCACCGCGCTCCCCCCCCACCCCCTCAGGCAGCGCCGCCGCCCGCGGGCTGGCAGCAACCTGTTGGACCCGAGGGCGGGAGGAGGAGGAGGAGAAGGAGGGAAAGAAGGAGGAGGAAGAAGAAGAAGAAGAAGGAGGAGGCGACCCCTGGGCTCGCTTGGGCGTTCAGCCCCGCTGCCAAAGACGGAGCAGCGGCAGGCCACGGCCGCCTCCCTGCCTTTCCCCCCCCTTCTCCTCCCCTTTCCCCGTGGCCGGCAGCGGGGCCGGGCGGGCAGCGCGGGGCTCGCACAAGATGGCGGTGGGGCGGCGGGACGGCGGGCTCCCCTCATAGATGCGGCCGCGGCGGCCCCTGCTCCCGGCGCCCGGCGGGGCTTACATGGCGCTGGAGGACCT